GGCGGCACGGGGAGTGTGCCGGCGGTGGGGACAGGGTGGGGGGGTGTCCGGAAGGCTTCCAGGCAAAGGCCTGGAAGCCGTCGACACCCCCGTACCCTTCCCCCGCCCCCGCTGAGAGCCTTCCGAGCTCTCAAAGGGCTTTCTCCAATATCGGAGGGGGCCCTTTGAGAGCTCGGAAGGGAATTGTCGGCAGGGGACGGTGGCTTTGGGGTCCTTCCGAGGCCGCAGCCCACTGCTGACATTTTCTCCCAGCTGAGCTGCGGGGCTTCAAAGCTCCCGCCGCTCAGCTGGGGGAAAATGGTGCCTATGGGGAAAAATCGCAAAGCGATTTTTCCCCATAGGCAAGATCATTGTGAGATCGCAAAAGCGATGGCAAAAAAGCCATCGCTATGCGATTTTTTCGTTAAACGGGGCGCTCGTTAAGCGAGGCACCACTGTATATATGTTCATTGCAAAGCATTAAATGTGATTCATCTGAGCTTAGAACTGAATACAGTGTTAACTTGCACAGGACAATCTAACCAGTGGAAAAATTATCTAGCCCAAGATTTTAAATTATATGTGCTTCAGCAAAATTTTAATGTTTTGGGCACATCTGATGCTACTATATCTGTTTTTAAAAACACAAGAGAAACTTAGATCACCATCCATCTAAATGTCAGCAACATAATATACCTAACATTTCCTTGTGGCCTATGATGTGGGCATGTCCACTGGTAACTCCTTTCTACCTGGATGCACTTCAGCATATTAATTTTATATTAGAATAATATTTTGTAACTATACAGTGGTGCCTCGCTTAACGACGACAATCCGTTCCAGGAAAATCACCGTTAAGTGAAAACATTGTAAAGCAAAATTAAAAACCCCATTGAAACGCATTGAAACCCGTTCAATGAGTTCCAATGGGTTAAAAACTCACCGTCCAGTGAATATCCTCCGTACGGTGGCCATTTTCGGTGCCTGTATAGCGAGGAATCCATCCCTAAGCACAGTGGGGAGCCACTTTAAGCACCCGATGGCCATTTTGAAAAACTGACAATCAGCTGTTTTTGATTGCTGCAAAGCGAAAATCTGTTCCCGAAGCAGGGAACCAATCATCGCTAAGCGAAATTCCCCCATTTAGACCATTGTTTTCCGATCGCAAAAAGATCGTTGTAAAGCGGATTCGTCGTAATGCAGGGCAATCATTAAGAGAGGCACCACTGTATTCCCATGATTATATTTTAACTTATAGTTAGTGTGGTTGGACGCAATGTGACCTCTAAATATATATCTATTATGTGCCACCAAGTTGTTTCTTACTTATGGCTACTCTTGCCAGGTTTTTCTAGGTAGAGACTATTCAGAACCAGGTTACCTGTCGCTAAGAGTCATGCTCTAATGTTTGAAAGACATTCACCTACAATTACTGGGATTAGAAAACTTACTATTTTTAATGAAGGTTTGAAATTTTCAAGAGACTGACAATATTAATACTTTAAAACGTGAATTCTTCCACAGAGCAGCTTATCATAGTTAAAACATCACAACTACATCATAAATCTAAAAATGAAAATAGTAAAACATAAAAACTCACAGAGAAACCTCTAACTGAGATGTTGACATCTTTTATTTTAGAAAATAAACAAAGCTGTGTTTTTATTTGGTATAACATAAGATAAGTGTTATCTCTCACCTGTTGTCATAGGATTCCTGCTCTTTAAGGTACTGTTGCATTAACTCTTCTTGTTTCTTCTTGTCATAAGATATTTTCTGTTCTGCCATCCATACCTAGTTGGTACAAATGTGATTTTAAAAATGTTTCTTTTATACATTTCCTCCTATTTCCACTGCGTAAAATTCCATATTGTAGACACACCATACTCAAATGCTGTAACTAAGATCATTTATAGAAAACTGCCAACATATGCATAACAGCAAGGTTCTGGAGGGATTCTGACATTGAATTTCACCATGAATATATCAGACAATCCCACTTTCTAGAAATAACAGTATACATTTAGGACTAGGGTTAAAACCATTTCTGCCCCCACCCTCGCTTTACATGCATAGTTTTTCAGGGAAAGGAATCTAAATAGTAATTTTAAATAGAAATTACATCTTAAAACATAATTTCCTGTCTGACATATTTCATAAATTACTCTGCTAGGGTAGCGAGCCATTCAGTCATATATTCATATTTCGGTCCTTCAATAAATTATTGATCTCCTAAGTAAAGTACATTACTTCTCAGCAAAGTCAGCCTTCAGATTGATACATTGGTAGACAATGAACAAGCAAATTTTAAAACTGTAATTAAAAAAAACCCTGTATGTACCGTAAATAAGAAACCATGTGAATATAGATCCATCACCCTAAATTCTGCTCCAAATAAATTAATGGAAAGAACGCCAGTGTGAACATGATTAAGGTAAAAGCAGAAACCTTGACACTGGTAGAAAATAACATTTTGTCTTACTAATCATTTAACATATTTAGGAGTGCTAATAATTATCTATGATTTGGGATTTTCAAAAATCTTCTGGCAAAATTCTTTGTTAGTCTTTCTTCTAATCTTCAGAGCTGGTGCCCTATACTGTATATATATTTGACTAAAACTCTCAGCATCCTTAGCAAGTGTGGCCTGTTGTTTTCCAGCACATTTGGAAGACGCTGTGCTGGGAAATGCTGCAAAAAGTGGGAGTTCTTACCAATGTATATTATATTGATGCAATTTAAAATATTTATCAATAATATTACCAGCAAAATAATGAGGCCAAGTTTGCAAACCTCACTGTAGAGTACTGGTGACAGTAAAATTGATCAGTAAATGCTTAAGGAGGCGAGTCTTGATGGACCACCAACGCTGACTTATTTAAATGACTAAAAATGTGACAGGTTTGCCTAAGAACACAGAGAGGAGAAAGCATAGCATTTTGTGTATACATCCTGTGCCTTTGTTTAGGATACCTTTACTGATCTAGTTCATCAAATAACAATATGTGGCAGATGCCCACGGCCACTCAAGAGTTCTGGCACAATAAAATTTTTTAATGCCACATCAGAATCTAATCTGGGAACTCACAGTTAGCTGCTATTAAGGTTCCAGTGCAGGATCATAATATTCTGCTGCCCACCTCTGAAATCAAAGTGTATATTGCCAAAGACTACAAAGTTATTGTAACACCTGTTGCAAGGAATCCCAGAAACTTCTCTCTCTTTCTTTGGCACTTAAAACACAGTAATAACTGAACTGCTGGATAGCTCAGTGGTTTAGGCCTCTGGCTGCAAAGACCAAGGCTGGGGGTTCAATTCCCCACTGGTGTCTCCCTGGACAGGGGCTGGACTCAAGTGATCCATAGGGGCCCTTCCAGTTCTGCAGTTCTAAGATGATGAGGATGTACTAGATAACAATTTCCTGTTCTTTTCAGACAACCCCCCTCACTCTTCCTAAAGATAAGGCCCTGGGAGAAGAATTGGCCATGCATGCCTTAGATCTTTGCCTGGCATCATTTCTGCCATCAAGAGCCGGCCCTTGTTGGGTATGCATGGGAATGGCATGCCGATGTCTCCAGGCAATGGTAACTAGGTACATGACAGCGCCGAACCCCCTTCACGGCACACCTTTAAAGCAACATCTTCGGTTTTCTTCCCAAGTTCCTCTCCCCGGATTTCCCTCTCCTCCCCATGAGACCTTTTTATCAAATCCAAATATACACCAGTCGAGTGGGAGAGCTTTAGATTCTCGTAACCGGGGCGGAGCGTCCTCCTCCAATTCAGCGGGGCTCATCTTATGTCTGAGGGAGTGGGCTTGCCCACGAAAACTCACATTAACAAAAATATTAAAGTTAGTCTTTACGGCGAACGCCCCCCCCTTTGTCCGTATTTAACTTTTCCTTTTGACTCTGTTCTCACCTGTCATGCTTGCACAGACCACACGCCCCCCTCCCTTCTGCAACGAAGACGACCAGCTTAGGCTATTAACAATTAGGGTGTTCCCCCCCCCCGGCCAAGTATTTGCATATCGGGCTATTTGCGGGGGAGGTGTTGTTTCGTTCGCTGGGAGGGCAGGAAGGGAAGGGGTTGCGGCTCCAGGGTGTGCCTCCCCGTGAAGGAGGCCTGATTTGGCCGGCAGGGAAAGAGCCGACGGGGCGACCTACACCCGGCGTCCGGGGGGGTGGGGTGGGGTGGGGTGGCTAAAAAGGGCGGCCCGGGAGAGGGGGATCCGGGTCGGCTGGTCCTCCAAAGGCGACCAGACAGACAGAGCCGGCTCACCTTTTTGATGTTGGACTTGGAGGCCGGATGGAAGTCCTTTTTGCACATGAAGTTGGCGAAGGACTTGCCCATGATGGCGGCGGCGGCAGGGTGCGAGGGAGAAAGCAGCGGGCGGCAACGGCCTTTCTTCCTTTCCCCTCAGGACCGAGAGAGAGCAAACGCGGGACGGCGACGCTCTTCGGAACCTGCCCCTGACGCTTCCTATTTCCACGGCCAGAGCCGAGTCTCGCTTCACCTTCTGACCCGGGGCTTCCGGGGAGAAATGGCGGCGACGTTTCCTGCCGAGGGAGGGACGGAGGGCCGGCGGGCCGGCCCAGCTCGGCTTGGCCCGCCTTCCCGCCTCCTCGGCCGCCTGGGAAAGACAGTTAGGAGCTCGGCGGGCCGGCCGCCAGCCCGAAGGGGAAGCGAGGCTGGCCCTCAAGGCAGGAGCGTAGCTGACGCGCGTCTCGCGGCGGGACTCGTGAGAGCGGTCGTGGGGACGCCAAACGGTCGGGCGCCAAGACCCGCTGCGACGCCGCGAGGCTCATGAAGAGGGACAGGTTCGTCTGAGGAAGCAGAGGGTTGTGGCTTCCCCCCCCTTTGGCCAAGGCGCCGACTCCGTTATCATGGCGGGGGGAGGCGGCCCTTTGGCCCTCCAGAGGTCTGTGTCGGGTGTCCAAAACCTCTGGAGAGCCAGAGGACCCTAAGGATGCCATTCCTGTGTACAGGTTTAAGGATCTGTGCACCAGTGTGCTGGGAAAAGAATGGTGTGTCCTGTTGTAAACATATTTAAAAAGACATTAAGAATAGAGAACACATTTTCAGAAGTTCATTTGTTTAAGCTATGAAATTACTGTGGTGTTTTGTTTTTGCTTTGTGGCTGGTACCTATATCCGGTTGTAGTTTCAACCATCCCACCTGTCTTGTCACTATACAATTTTATGGTTATTAAGAGAGAGAAAAAACTCCACAAAGATATTATGTGCCACCAAGTCATTTCTCATGTGTAATGACTATATGAGTTAATGACCTTCCAAAGCATTGCTCAGATCTTGCAAACCCAAAACATCTCATGTTAGGTTGTTCTCTCTTTCTGCTGCCTACCCTGCCTAGCACTATTGTCTTTTCCTGTAAGTTCTGCTCAGGCCTTGCAAACTAACAGCTGTGGCTTTCCTTTATAGAGGTAAGGAAGATTAGTGCCACAGTTTTCTTGGTTATTTGTTAGACGAAGCTGGTTGTTACCAGCAGCTGCCTCTCTAGAGATATTAATTTTTAAGTGCTTGTGGTATGTAATTGACTTTCTGAATGTTCACAAAATTATTTAACTCTGCATAATATTTTCTAAAGACCGTTATAAAACAGAGACTTTGAAGCATCTTCATGCCCATTTTTCATGGCTTTTGTTTGACTTTGTTTAAGTTCAAGCCTAAAGAATTCTGGACGACTCAAAAGTTGTTCATGATTTTTGTGCCATTTTTGTTATTCCTAATAAGAAATGTGTTGCTTTCCTGACTGTGACTTTGTTTTGTTTTTTGTTTAATAGATGAAAATAGTTTCCTGTGTTTTTTGTCTTTCCTCTAGTTAGCTCAAGGCAGTTTGCATGGTTCTCCTTCTCCCTTGTTTAATTCACATCAATTCTGTGAAGTGAGTCAGGCAGAGCAAAAGTACAGTGGTGCCTCCCTTAACGATGTTAATTCGTTCCAGTGAAATCACTGTAGAGCGAAAACATCGTAAAGCGAAAATAAAAAACCCATTGAAACGCATTAAAACCCAGTTAATGTGTTCCAGTGGGCTAAAAACTCACCATCCAGCGAAGATCCTCCATATGGCGCGCATTTTCGGTGCCTGCATAGCGAGGAATCCATCCCTAAGCACAGTGGGGAGTCATTTTGAGCAGCCGGTGGCCAATTTGAAAACCCGACAATCAGCTGTTTTGATCATCGTAATGCGAAGAATCGGTTCCCGAAGCAGGGAACCGATCTTCACAAAGCGAAAAAACCCCATTTAAAACATTGTTTTGTGATCGCAAATGCGATCGCAAAAACATCATCATGAAGCGGATTTATCGTAATGCGGGGTAATCATGAAGCGGGGCACGACTGTAACTGGCCCAAGATCACTAAGTTCGTTTTCTTACTCAATAGAGATTTGCACATGGATCTCTACACTACTAGTCCCACACTGTAGCCACTCCAGTACACTGGGGTAGGTACTCTAGGATGGCATTTCATGGCCTAGGACCCCCTTTCTACCTTTAAGTTATGTGGAATAAAACTGTGGTCAGTGGGCCAAAATGCCAAGCCTGAAATTCACTCTCTCTCAACAACAAATAATAATTTGAATAGAAACCTGAAATGGTTGATGCAGAATTTATTAATACATTTGATTGGCTTCAGAGTCAGATCCATTATTTATAGGCCAACACTGCACTTATTTTAAGAAGGTGTTGTTATTGCCAGTTACCTTTACAGTGTATGGTAACTGTGCTTGTATAGTAGTGTGCTTGTATAGAGGTATATTTGTATGTTTCTTTGTTACCATCTTTTTTCTTTCAATACCGGTATATATGGAGGCTTATTTCAGGCTTCTAAGGTGCCATAAGTCTCTGTCTTGTTTGCTTCAACAGTCCCCTGATTTTTTTTCTCTTGCTCACTGTTCTTTCCATGAACACACAATTTTCACTTTATATCCTTCCTCACACAGATATATGATGCGCAGTCTCTGGAGCAATGGTTCCCAACTTTGGGCAACTCAGGTGTTCTTGGACTGCAGCTCCCAGAAATCCTGGCCAGCACAGCTAGTGATGAAGGCTTCTGGGAGTTGTAGTCCATGAACATATGGGTTACCCAAGGTTGGGAATCACTGCTCTAGAAGGACTACCTGTCTCTCTCTCACACAGAGGGCAGATGGTGGGAATTTTGAAGACAGCACCAATGTCATGTTTACGTAGGAACGGGACCTGTGAAACGCCATACCATGCAGCACAACTTAGTCTTGTTACGTTATATTCCAGAATGGCTTTCCAATATGTTGAACCTTCCTCCTGCGACACTTTTGTGGCTTTGCCTCCAGCCACGCTTGGCAACAGGATCATCTTTGGTAAAAACTCAGACAGGCCATCTGATGAAGTCCAGGAAATTGTGTATTTCCCTGCTACAACTCATCTTCCAGGCGAAAAGGTTGAGGTAAGAACAAAAGGTCTAAGAAGATAGTAAAAACGTATTTGGATGTCTTCTCTGTGTACCTCTGAAGGTGAAACAGTGGAACAAATGCTTGTTTTCAAAGAGAAAATCACATGCTGCTAATGCATCAGTTGAAATGGGACTGGAAATGAAAGTTAGGTGTGGAATCACGTTACTCCAGCTAATTATGAGTACAATTTAGAATGAGCTCATTCTTCCTTAGCCATACATTACAACTGAACACCTGCTTATCCTGTCCAGTATTGTCTATACAGTGTTCCGTGCCTACGTCGAACACCTGCTTATCCTGTCCAGTATTGTCTGTACAGTGTTCCGTGCCTAAGTCGTGCTGTCCACGTGACAACGGAAAATGTCTTCAGACAAACGCTGGCTCTACGGCTTAGAAATGGGGATGAGCACCGCCCCCTAGAGTCGGACATGACTGACTAAAAATGTCAAGGGGAACCTTTACCTTACTGTCTAAAGTGCCAGTGATTCTGTAGGGTTTCAGACAGGTGTTTTTCTCAGCCTTACCTGGAAAAGGCAGATGATGGGATCCTTTGCAAGTGAACTCTTTGCCAACTGTTGAGTTTAAAATGCTTTGCGCTCAGAAGGTGACCAGGTAGCCAGGAACAATTGAAAACCACCTTGCATCGGAGTGGCTGCCACTGTCGTCTTTGTCATTGCCGCCTTCTCACTTCCCTGTGTCCTGGTGCAGGGTCAGCAGAGAGTAGCTTGGGTGGTGCCAGTAGGGGAGCAGCGGGGTTGGAGTACTGGCAGTACTTCTCTTTTGACCCCAGGACAGCAGGAGAGTTTTCACCAGTGTTTTCCATAAGCCACAGCCCTGAGGGCCAGTGGTGAAAGAGTGGATGAGTGCAACCTTGTTAGTAAAGAAACTATTTAATTTATGCATGCTTGTAGTTGTAGAAGGGGTAGCTGTGTTAGTCTATGCAAGCATTATAGGTAAAAGCAAAACAGAAATAAAAAGTTGAAGAAGGTTCTCATTAAAAAATATAAAAGTTAGTCTTTAAGGTGCCACCATGTTTTTGTCTTTTTTAATCTTTTATTTATATTTTGTTTTTACCTGTTATACATGCTTGTGAACCATATGGCAAAATTTCTTAAAAACAAAAGCTGAGATAGAAATGTGGGTTTCTGCAGAAATTTTTACCAGGAGAAAGGCAAAGCTGCCTAATGTAGTTGTTGGTTAGTGTGTGCCATCAAGTTGGGACTGGCTTATAGTGACCCTGGTAGGGATTTCAAGGTAAGAGATATTTAAAGATTACTGGTTCCACAGCTGAGCAGGGATTTGAACGCTGATCTCCAGCATCCTAGTCCATCACTTTATCCACTACATCGTTTTTTTTCTGCTTATGATATGTCCAAAGTATGATAGCCTCACTTCAGTCATGAATTGTAGCAAGTCCTCCGGTGGGCGTGGCTGGCGATAGCAGCAAGACCCTGATTGCGAGGATCATAGCTGCAGTGGTTTCGAGTTAAATCAGCTAAGTTGTTTTTTTGTTTTGTTTTGGGTTTTTTTTTTTGTTGACTCAAAGTTACCTCCAAGAGAGGTGGAATTCAGAGGGGAGGCAAAGGCTGACTCCACAGAAACCTTGGGGGGGGCGGGTGGGAAATCTGCGAATAGAAGAAAAGGAGTTGAAAAACAAATTTGCCAGGTCTTGGAGGAGGATATGCACAGCAGCCACAAGCCTGAACCAGCAGTTTTCAAAGGAGACCAAGCCATGCCGCCCACTATATTTTTAAAGAGGAGAAGGTGGTGTGAATGCAAAACATACTGTGAGTAAAGACCTTTTTGATGGACTGTTACCGTATTTTCGCACCATAAGATGCACTTTTTCCCCACAAAACGGGGGTGGAAAGTCTGTGCATCTTATGGAGCGAAGAAAACAGATTATATTTTCCTGTTTTCTTCTCCTAAAAAATTGGTGCGTCTTATGGAAAGGTGCGTCTTATGGAGCGAAAAATACGGTAATTAATACTCAAAATAACTGGAGGGGGTTTGGAAGTGTAAAAAAAATAACGAGGTGTAAAGCAAGAGAAGATTTGTCAGAGCAGAGAGAGACTTCTAAAAGAGAAAAACAACAAAAGACTTTTGGATAACGTACTGGGAGTTTGTGATTGAATCGACTAAAATAGACCAAAACAAGAGCAAGAAAAGAATACGAAAAAGAATAAAAGAGAAAATAAAAGACCACAAGGGAAGACTAAGTAAGAGTGGCTGGAACGCAAAGGTAAGCAAACCAGGACGGAACTGTAGAAACTGAAGATAAACTGAAATGGTTGTTGTGGCTTGTCTTGATTGAAAAGGTGCTTTTCAAGGTGTTCTGTTGAAAAGGTGTCTGTTCCCTCCTTCCCTCCCTCTTTTCTTTCCTTTTTTTAAACCTAAGTCATCTTAGATTAAAAGGAAAAAAAGAGAAAAAATATGCCCCTAGTGGTAGGAACGGATTAACTGGTTTTGCATTAGTTCCTATTGGAACTAATGATTTGAGTTACAAACCGCCCCTCGACCTAAGAACCAAAAACAGCCGGAACAGATTAATTGGTTTTCAGTGCATTCCTATGGGAAATGCTGATTCGACTTACAAACTTTTCGACTTAAAAACTTCCTTCCGGAACGGATTAAGTTTGTAAGTCGAGGATTGACTGTATGAGGATATTCCATCTCAAGTATCAAAAGCAAGAAGAGATTAGTATTTTCTGATACAGTACAAGTATTACAAAAGAATAAGATAAAATACAAATGGGAAATGACTGAGGAATTTACACTGCAGTTCAGAGGGAAATGGTTTAGAATTAACTCCACTCATAAGGCAAAGGAATTCTTGAAGAAATATGGTACAGATTTGGATAAGACAGGAGAAAGGCATGAAGGGGAAAATAGAGGAAAATTAAAGGAAACCTTCTGGAGTCACAAGAGCTAAAAGAAGTAAGATTAGAAGTAGAAAAAAGAGATCTCACAAATATGGAGTCAAGGGAACGAGGAAGAAGGGATAGATTCAGAGGAATGAGGAAAGGAAGAAGAAAAAGAGATGTAGAAGCAAAGAAAGTAGAGGACTAAAATGGCAAATAAATTTTGACTTGGAATGTCCAAGGACTGAATTATCAAAAAAAAAACAACAACAAACAACAAACAAAAAACCCCGAAGACAAATGTTCCATTTTTTGGAAACCGAAAGAAATCGGATAAGAGGCTTACAAGAAACCCATATTAGAAAACAGGATGTGAAATATCTAAAGAATGGAAAATAGGGAAATGTTATACTAAGGCCTTTTTTTTTTTTTAAAGAGAGGAGTAATTTAAAAAAAGAGAGAGAGAGAGAGAGGAGTAGCTATATATGTGCCAGAACATTGTTTATCAAAAGAAATATTAAATGATGAGGAAGGAAGATATATAGGAATATAAATTCAAATGCAAGGAAAAACAATAAATGTAATCTCAGTATATGCACCAAAATAAGGAAAAATGTGCTTCTTTCAAAAACTAACACAAAATTACTAGAATTAGAAGGTGATGAATTGGTTATAGCAGGGGATATGAATGAAGTAATAAATTCCAAAGCGGATCGGAAATCCGAAAATAAAAGAGAATCAGGGAAAACATTATAAACAACATGCGGAGAAGAAGTAAGGAATGTTTTTTCCAGATACAAAAAAATCATTCGATAATATTAATTGGGAATTTATGTTTGAAGTGCTAGACACAATGGAAGTAGGAGATAATTTTTTGAACTGGATAAAAAGCATATATAGTAAGAAAAATGCAAGAATCATAATCAACAGAGAGAAAACTAATCAATGCCAGATTTCTAAAGGAACACGCCAAGGATGCCCACTCTCACCCCTGTTGTCTATAACAACATTAGAAGTGCTACTAAGGAAAATAAGAAAAAAGGAACAAATTAGAGGTTTAAAAATTGAGAAACAACACTTTGCGGATGAAATAATAATCTTTTTGGAAGACTCAACATGTAGTATCACGGAACTTAAATAAATAATTAGCAGTTTTGGGGATCGAGCAGGTTTAATTATAAATGAAGAAAAAACTAACATGCTGACAAAAAACATCAGAGGAAAAGAAGAGAACGAATTAGAAATCAAGTCAGATTATAAAGTAGTGAATAAAGTAAAATATTTGTGTATAACAACAACTTAAAAGACAAAGGATTTATTTGAACATAATTACGAGGGGAAAAAGGGAAAGAAATCAATACAGTGGTGCCTCGACTTATGACCGTCTCTACTTACGACCATTTCGAGTTACGAACAGCTCCGGCCACAAAATTTTGCTTTTACTTGCAACCGGAGCTTCCACTCCGGTCGCAAGTAAGGTGAGAAATTCAAATTTCTAACTGTAGATGGCGACGAACCTGCTTCTCTGTAGCTTTTTTGCCCTAACAGTTAGAGAGTGTGTGTCATTGTCAGAGGCTTGGGACTGCCTCCTGCTTCTGAGTGAGAGTCTATGTGTTTGCAGGGAGGCTTCGGGCTGCCTGGTAAGGTAAGGTGCTGTTTTCTTGTTTTTAAAAACTGTTCTGGGTAATTTTGCAGCGTGGTTTTGAGCTGGGAGGGTATGTTTCTGTGCTGTGATGGGTCTTGAGAGGTTTGTTTGCTTTTTGGTTTCCCCCATTTCCAATGGGTCTTGGGGGGGCTGCTTCTTTTTTGAGTGGTTTTCCCATTTCCAATGGGTCTTGGTTTTTTGGGGGGGGTTGGGTTTTCCCTCCATTTCTGATGGTTCTTGGGGGATTTGGTTGCTTTTTTGGGTGGGTTCCCCATTTCCGATGGGTCTTGGGGGATTTGTTTGTTTTTTGGCTTTTCCCCCCATTTCCGATGGGTCTTGGGGGGGCTTGGTTGCTTTTTGGGTTTTTTTCCCCATTTGCAATGGGTTATTCATGCTTCTCTTGCTTTTCCTTTGTTTTCTTTGCATTTCCGACCTGCCCCCTTTGTTCTCTGTGCATTTCTGATCTGCTCCATTTGTTTTCTGTGCATTTCCAATGGGTCTTGCACAGATTGCTTTTGTCCCCCCCCCTTCGGCCGTAAGGGATTAATCACACTTCCAATGAGACTTGTAGTGATTTTTTTTGGTGATTTTTTTCTTTGGCCAGAACGGATTGATTGCATTCCATTGCATTCCTATGGGAAATGGTGCTTCAACTTACGACCATTTCGACGTACGTCCATCTTCTAGAACGGATTATGGTCATAAGATGAGGCACCACTGTAAAAGTTTAGAGAGATGGAAACATTTAAAAATTTCATTGATGGCGAGAACAGCAATTAATAAAATGATGGTATTATCTATATTTGTGTTCCTATTTTAGAGTATCCCAGTTATAATAAACAACAAACCATTTCATCTGTGGAGAAAACAACTCTCAAATTTTATTTGGCAGGGGAGAAAACCGAGACTAAAAGACAACAAGAAAAGAGGAGGATGGGGTCTCCAAAACCTCCAATTACCGTATTGTTTGCTCCATAAGACACACCTCTCCATAAGACACACCAAATTTGTAGGAGAAGAAAACAAGAAAATAATTGTTTTCTTCTCCTAAAAATTTGGTGAGCCTTATGGAGAGGTCCGTCTTATGGAACACACCCTAGGACCATTTGGAGGCTCACCCTGCCCCCCCGGGGGCCAGAGGGGGCAAAATCACCACCTTCAGGGACTCTTCTGAAGCTTCTCAAGCCTCAAAAGAGTCCCAGAAGGTGGCGATTTTGCCCCACGGGGCCAGCGGGGGCGAAATCTCCAGTTTCCAGGACTCTTTTGAGGCTGTCTCCTTTGTTCTTGTACAATGTGACAATATTTGCATCCTTCATGTCTTGTGGTACTGCATCTTCACTCCAGCAAAGACGAAAGACTTCATACAGTTCGGTGGTGATGGTCTCTTTACAGCACTTCAAAAGGGATGCTCTTATGGAGCAAAAAATATGATATATTATGAGGCGGCAATGTTACAGTTGTTAAGAGAGTGGATTAGACTGGATTATGAAAAAATTAGAAAGCAAAGATTTAAGATATGAACTTCATGCATATTTATGGTATGGAAAAAAGAAAGTGAACAAAGCTTTTGATAATATAATAAGAAAGACATTAATTAGAGTGTGGGGAAAATATAAAGGGAAATTTTATCATGGGATTCCAATGTGGATGTTTCCCCATGACGGAAGTAGATATAAGGAGTGATGAATGGTTAACATATAAAGATCTACTCATAGAAGGAGGCGATGGACAACTAAGACTTAGAACAAGAGAAGAAATGAATCAAGTAGGTATAACATGGCAATGGTTCCCACATAGACAGTTATCAGAAAGAATGAGAATGGATAATAAATTAATAGGTCTGGTTAAAGAATCTATGGAACTATACAAGATAATATGGGGAAAAGAAAATCACCAAATCGCAAAGTTGTATAAATTATTATTGGAAAAATATATGGAACAGGAAGTAGTTAAAGAGAATATGATAAAATTAATACAGATAGTTAACATAGATATAAAATAAGAATTAAGAAAGGTATTAAGATTGTGGAGAAAATAAATGTCTGGTGGAAAATAAGGAAGTACTGTAAAGATGTTAAAGACTTACTATTTTCCATAAGAGATAATAGAAAGTTATCTTGGTTATGGGCTTACATTGCGATAATTATTTACTTACTTTGATTGTTCTTTTTTTTTAATGTCAATAAAGTTTTTAAAAAATGAATTGGAGCAAGTCCCTTCACCTGGAGAAAAAGTGGTATAAAGGTACAATCAATCAATGAACCAATCAGTGTTAGGTGTGTTGTAATTTGTCCATGTGATTGTAATTTGTGCATACAGTCACACACACCTGATGCAATTTTTTCTTTGTATGCCTATGCTTAGTGTCACATACCATGGCACTTAGAAACTGAGACAGAGTGGCAGGAAATCCCCAGGAATCTGACAGCACGCGTGCAAATGAGAGTTACGTTCAAGAACAGAAGAACTATAATGAATGGCATCAAGACCAGTTCATAATAAGGAATACCTTAAAAAGAAACAAGGATGACAAAAACAAAGCAAAACACAGATGTACACAACAGTCCTAAGGAAGCATTAGGTGTTTTCAGGCATTACCACTATATCGTGACATTGGCAACTTCACCTGACTTATTCCAGAGTCGTTTCTTTCATTTTGAAAACCTTGGTGAACATTCTGTAGAGAGTAACGGTGAGAGCAATGGGTATGCTCCATTTGAGTTTGGGATTCCAGAAGAGTCTGGGTTACTTACTATGAGTTACTTTTTTTTACACCGTTGAAACTTTCCAGTTTTTCCATTTCTTGAATTCTGAATGGCAAACATTCTGGAATGGCACATTTTGCATCTGTTCTCTGACACTCTGATAGTGTCAGAGAACAGTTGTACCACTAGTAGGGTTAATGGCTCTTCCAGGGAAGGGGAAGGGCACCAATGGATATAAATCTCCAAAATCAATAAACAAGTCAGCAGCGTGCCCACTGGCCCCCGTAGTACAAACTCCCCCAACCTCTGGTGCCTTGGTGTACTTCCTCCCACGTACGTTCCAGGCCTATGTGTTGCAGCCCATGCTGTTCAGAAGGATACCCCAACTCTGGATAAGCCTTTTAAGGGGCACAGAGGGCAACAGTGTGGAGGAGGGGGGTTGGAAAGTCTACTTGAAGTTGTTGTAGCCATAGTGTAGTTATGAAGCGTGTGGACGTTTTATCACTTGATAACTGAGTTACAGTAAGCTCTGTATTAAGTTCAGGTCCATTCTGGAGCAAATGGTATATCCTCTACTTAATAGAGGAGCAAATGGTATATCCTCTTAACATATTTCAGATCCAACCCATTATCTTGACAATATAAGTGTTTTTAAGTAAGTGATTTTTAAAAGAGTGCTTTGATGCCTTGTCTGGAATTATCTTTTTCACAGTGTACTTACATAGAAATTGAACAAGTGCCAGAAACATATGCAGTTGCCTTGAGTCGTCCCTCGTGGCTGTGGGGTGCTGAAATGGGGGCCAATGAACATGGAGTTTGCATTGGGAATGAAGCAGTGTGGGGGAAGGAAGAAGTCTGTGATGACGAAGCGCTCCTAGGCATGGATCTTGTCAGGTACACAGACGACCGGCACTCTTTTTGTTGGATGAAATGTTATTTTACAAACATGCAGAATGTGGGAGTTAATGGGGTACTGTAGACACACACTGACCTCTCAGAACTGCATTGCTCAATCATGCTATAATCTGCAGCCAAATGTGTGAAAAGCTGCTTTGGAAAGTTATTGTGCTCGAAGGGATGAAAATGAAGAGAAACCAATGTTGGATCTTGCATAGTTCTTTCACACATACAAGGGCTCTTCCATGTACAGTATATATTTATCAAATGACAGGACATGCATATACATATAATCTATCATATGAGCTCTGTATTGAGTTCAGGTCCATTCTCAAGCAAAGGACATTTTAGAAACACAGCCTTCCCTTTAAAGGAAGATTTGTTGCTTGATAGTGTACAAAATGAAATATGGTAGGACCCTCATATCCATGGGGGATTGGTTCCAAGCCACCCAGCTTGCTGAAAAACATGGATTCTAGCAAGCAGTATTGTAATAGTGAATACTATACTATATAATACACAATATTATATACCAGTGGTGGCGAACCTTTTTGGGCCTAAGTGCCCAAACTGAAAAAAGAAGAAAAAACACCAGCAGGCGGTGGGCCATGGTGGCAGCTGAACCAGAAGTGGCAGCGAAAGTGCCCAAACTGAAAAAAGAAGAAAAAAAAAAACCCAGCAGGCGGTGGGCCACGGTGGCGGCTGAACCGGAAGTGGCAGCGAGAGAGTCCTGGGCATGGAGGTGCCTCGAGCCCCCACTCTGGATCTGCCACCAGCACCAACTTCTCCGGATCTGCCTGTCGAAGTGCCAGCACCGCGGCTGCAGCCACCTCCCGAGGTTTGACTGCGGGGTGTGTGTTTGCAATCCAGCAACTTATGGCTCGTGTGCCTGCAGAAAGGGCCTTGTGTGCCAGCTGTGGCACGTGTGCCATAGTTTCACCATCACTGTTATACACTGTATAATAGCATGGTCTCTGGTTCCTTTAGTGGTCAGTTATGGTAATGGCCTCATTAAAATACATATTTTGAGAATTTTTCTTTTACTATTTTCAGACTGAAGATAAGTGAATCAGCAGATACTGATCCCGCAGATTATGGGATCCTACTTTGTATTAATTTTCCTTCTGCTGATCCGGCCAACCCAATTATGGTTGTATGGATTAAACTGTCATAATATGCTCCACCCCGTCTTACTGTACAGGCTTCTGTTTTTAATTTTTGGAGCAAGTACTAGCGCTAACTGAATGACAGCTGTCTTATATTCTGCAGTTGTGCTGCAATTTTACAATTGTCATGTTCATCAAGATTCTCTTTGGTGCTGTAGCTGTTATGATCCTGATCCAGGAGATCTGATAACATATTCATCTGATAGAATTATGTATGTCAATTGCAATAGTGTTCAAATTCAATTTGGGTTTTAAGAGCTTAAGAAAAAGAATTTTACACAAAGTTAATCCTTTGATTTTAGGCTCGGACTTGAAAGAGCTGATACCGCAGAAAAAGCTGTCAGGGTCATTGTTGATTTGCTGGACAAGTATGGTCAAGGTGGAAACTGTATGGAGAGTCATATGGCATTTACATACCATAACAGCTTTCTGCTAGCAGACAGAAAAGAAGCATGGGTACTGGAAACCTCTGGAAAATACTGGGCTGCAGAGAAAATAGAAGGTATGATTTCTCTCTCTCTCTCTTTCTTTGCCCTTTTTGAGCATTGATGTTCATGCTGATTGCAGAATTGAACCATGGTTACAACTACAGAATGAAATTTAATCAAACAGAACTAACAGTCTAACTTTTAGTGAGCACAGGGCCTGTTTCAGTAGAAAATTCCTAACACTTAACTAGCAATTAAAGATTTTCCACTAAATTTCTCATTGCAAGTGACTATAATTCTGCTTTGCAGGCAGACATGTTTGAAGTCCGTGTCATGGGCAATTACATTGGTCACAAAGGTCACCCTGTGGGAGAAAATTGAAGCCTGGATGCAGGAAAACACAGCACACGCTGGTGTTTCTGTGTCAGGGAGGCATGAATTCAAGCTGGGGCTTCCTTGTCATGCCTGCAGTGGGCCAAAGAGAGGAAGTACAAGAGATGTGTTTTGTGGGCCTGCTGTGGAGGACCCGTTGGACATCTCTCTAGACCAGTGAGCAGCAGAATGTTAACATTCAGAAGATTTCCAAAGCCTCGCCTTGCAAAACCAGATCTCCACTTTGTCACAATGTCTTACTTTCCCCTTGGACCACATCAGCTGTTGGAAGTAGAGGAAAGGGTGAAATCCAGTATACCATTCCCAGCCTTTCTGCTATCACTGCGTTTGTACTATCATTCTGTTGTTTTTGCTCTATAATAATTTTGCCTAATTGTCTTTCAGTAGTTTGTCATCTTAGCTGCTGGAGGATTTCCAGATGGAAAGACAGGATATTAAAAAGAGCAGCCAGCAAAAACAAAGACTGTTGTTGGATTGAGCTTGCTTTTTAAAATCCATCAGCATAATACCTTTTTAAAGGATCAGTTTTGGTGGAACAAATAAGAAGAAGTAAAATTAAGAGATTTATTGTCACACTTCTCAACAGGAGGAGTACGGAATATTTCCAATCAGTTCTCAATAACAAGCAAGATTGATCGTGAGCACCCGGAACTAAGGAGTTATGCTATGAGCAAAGGCTGGTGGGATGGCAAAAAAGCATTTGATTTTGCAGGCACGTACTCCTATTTGAACACGGCCAGGATGACTACTACGAGAGGCAGATATTGTGAAGGCTATAAACTACTGAAGAAACATGAAGGTAACTGTAGCGTTCACCCTGCTCATTAATATTTATGTGGAGATTTGCATGCACCAATAGGAGTTGGTGAGGGGCGGAGTTAAGTGGGGGTAAAGAAAAGGAGGGCAGAGGGAGAGAAAGAGGAGGCAGTTGAGAGGGAAGAGAGAAGGTTGTTTTAGTGGAGAGTTAAATGACATTGACTGGACTGTTACCACCTGTAACAATGAACAATTTCTACTTGGTTCTTAAATGATACGTGGCCTGGACGTCCATCATTAATAGCGAATAAAGTTGATGTAATCAACTGGTGGCAGCTGAATGACAAGTAGCTTGTGCCTTTGCTTGGTGAAACAACCAAGGGACAGGCGGGAACATGACAGTAACATTTTTGAGGGACACGGGGCACTTTACATTTGTACTATTAAGACGTCCACCTGTACAGAATTCAAAAATATTGGCTAGAATCCTGTTGGTTAGGTAAGTTGTTCTAAGACAAGCAGGTTAAATTGCATTGGTGAAGTGCAAGTATTAAGCAAATCCTGGTATTCCTCCTCATGTACTAGTTGCATGATTTGGCCTGCCCAAGGAATAAAGTTATTGATGTCTGATAGTTTTGTACATTTGACTTATGGCACTGCATGCAAGTAATAGAATATTGGCCATTACATCTTACCTTTTGTGTCTTTTTGTTGAAGAGGGGAGAGAGAAACTTATTTCATGTGCATTCAACTCTGGCAGAATGTTTTTGCTTTCCACAGTGACTTGGTCTATAGCCATCTTAAAGGCATTTAAGCTGGAAAGATAAAGCTGTATAGTTTTTGGAATAACCCCTTTAAAAACTTACAGTCTGTAGCTGTTAATTGTATGTAATTTGATCATTTGACAAGAAATGGATTCTTAAAGTTTATAATAATAATAATAATCATCATGATAACCTTTGAACTGCAGACCTGGAAGGGACCCTATGGATCACCAAGTCCAGCCCCTGTCAAGGAGCCACAATGGGGAAGTAAACTTCCAGCCTCTGGTTCTGCAGCCAGAGGCCTAAATCGTTGAGCTATCCCTTGTTTTTATGTACATTTGAGGTGTACCACTACTTCCACTTGTTTGGGAAAGTATTTCTAATGGCCTCCATTCAAGAACTTGCATGTTTGAGTGGAAGATTATGTTCTTTTAATTATTGCTTTATTGATTAATAACAGTAAATTGCACAGGAAAAAGTTGTTTTATAAAATAGTGGGGGGAGACACATAAACAAAACAGTTCATATCTGGGTGATGATTCATATAGGGAAAATCCACTTGCATGAAGAGAAAAGTCTACTCAGAAGTCACTCTTCCAGAATTTCGTTTAAGGGGGCTCTGGGGCATTGTTTAAAAAGAAACGGAACAGATACGACAGAGCAATGAACATATGTCTTGAAAATTCCTCTTTTGCTGTCTTCATTTTTTCTCTGGCAGCTGCACATACTGAAATTGTCTGATGGTTTCCAATGCCCATCAGTTTCAAAGGCACACGATAGTCATTAAGTACATTAGACTCATCATCCACTTTTAACATTTAAACATTTCACAGTGTCTGTTTCCATCAGTATCTTTATGCAATTCTTCTTCTTTGTTTCCTAACCTCCATCGCGTACCAACAGATAGTTGCAGTAATAACGTGGATTATTTCTACTCTGAACATTTAGAGAATTGCAACTAACACATACAAATGTTACATAGGCAAGAATATGAACACACAGCATTCTATAGAGCAGACCTCTGCATTTGGCTTTTCTGGCTTAGTCAAGACCTATACAGTAATAAAGTGAGTTGGGGGGAAAGCCATGCTTTCCCTTTCTGACGGGTTGTTTCGTATTGCACTTTCAGTCCCCTGGCTTCAGTGCAGGGATTTAACTATGCAACGTATTAAGAAGTACCAAAGTCTCTTTTGAATGCTGCCAATATCTGCGATTCTTACTATGACAATAAACTTGGCACTGTTATTTTACAACATGTACATCAAAATTGCATGTAAATTCATGTACACTTTAGGGGGAAAATTAAGTCCAAATAAAATTGCACCCCTCTGTTTCAATATTCATTCTGCTGAGCCTTGTCACCCCCAATTTCAGTAGTTTCCTAGTGGATTACTTGCAGCTATAATACCCCTGTGATCATGCAAATCCTGCATTCATTTGGGGGAACTGTAGGTTCTGAATACTGAACACTTTTTAATACCGGTCTCATGCAATGGCCCTCTTGAGGTTCCATCAATCGTTTCGTTCTAAATCCCCATTTTTCAGGTGCTTACTTCGGTTGTTTTTAAGACACACCAGGTGTTCTGTTATCAGTTTTGATGGAGTTTAAGCTCCCCCACCTCAGCCCACCCAAGACCTTGAGGGGATTCATTATTGTAATACACTATTCTCTGGAGATTTTACTTTCATTTGTTCGTAAAGAAATCTTCTAAAATTGATGGAGAGGATTTGTTTTTAATACTGAGATTGTTATTCCAAAATGGTCGATGGGGATTCTAAATTTATGGAGAAAATGTTAAAAATCTCTGTCAGAAAATGGATGTTTCTCTGTAGATAAACAGAGTCGGTTGCACTCATGCAAAGCGGAGGCTTGTAGTCAAAGGTCCAGTGAGCGTAAACTCCAGCGTTCCTCATCTTGGCCATTTGTATTTTTCTAATTATTTACCTCGGTACCCTTTCTTTTGTGATAAGTGGTGGCGCTGTGGGTTAAACCGCAGAAGCCTCTGTGCTGCAAGGTCAGAAGACCAGCAGTCGTAAGATCGAATCCATGCAACAGAGTGAGCTCCCGTTGCTTGTCCCAGCTCCCGCCAACCTAGCAGTTCGAAAGCATGTAAAAATGCGAGTAGATAAATAGGTACCACCACGGTGGGAAGGTAACGGTGTTCCGTGTCTAGCCACATGACCACAGAAACTGTCCACGGACAAATGCTGGCTCTATGGCTTAGAAACAGGGATGAGCGCTTCCCCCTAGAGTTGGACACGACTGGACTCAATGTCAACGGGAACCTTCACCTTTACCTTACCCTTTCTTTTCCTTTGTCCAGCTTTCTTTTCTGCCTCTCTTGGCAGTGGAAGTAATGCTTTCCAAATAACAACATTGCCCGTAAACATGGATTTGCAAGGGTAGAACAATACAGTGGTGCCTCGCTTAGTGATTGCTCTGTTGAGCGACAAAATTGCTTAGCAACTAACTTTTTGCGATCGCTTTGCGATGGTCCCTATGGGGGTTTTTCGCTTTGTGATGATCGCAGGGAAGCAATCATGGCAAAGCAACCCTTTTTTAACAGCTGATCGGCGGTTTCAAAATGGTCGCCGGGAAAACAAAATGGCCGCCCACTGGTTTTCCTCGCTTAAGAGGCAGCAAAAATGGCGGTGCTATGGAGGATTTTCGCTTTAAGGTGAGTTTTTAAGCCCATAGGAACGAATTAATCATGTTTTAATGCATTTCTATGGGCTTTTAAATTTCGCTTAGCAATGTTATCGCTTAGCAGCGTTTTTTCCGGAATGGATTAATGTCACTAAGCGAGGCACCACTGTATTCTGCTTGACCAAAGACTGGGGCAGCTGTAAAGCTGCTGCTTTGGAGGGTGTCAATGAGTCACTTTGACTCATTGCATAGTGTGTGAAATCCTGCTGCTTAGCATGCTAGGTACCATTGAATCAGTGGGGTTGGGCAGGACAACTCCTCTGTCAGTTCCGTTGATTCAAATGGGCAGCTCACGACTAGAGTAGGCCCATTTGACTCAATTGAAAACTTATGGAGGAGTTGAATCCCCACTGATTCAGAAGGCCTGCTCTAGGGCAACTAACTATGCTCAGCAGCAGGATTTCAGCCAATGTTTTACTCATTACTGCCAAAGTATTGTGGGTTGAGAGGGGATTTTTTTTACCATTTTCCTATTTTAAGGTTTTTTTAAGCTAAAAAGTTAATTAAAAGATTAACATGTCACTCTAAAGCAGGCTTGTCCAACCTGCGGCCCGAGGGCCGCATGCGGCCCAGGTCAGCTCGTAATGCGGCCCAGTATAATTTTTTATTTTTAAAGAAATTCCAAAGTTTCAAGTTACACTGCCGGTGCTTGCGGCCAGAATGTGGCCGGGGCATGTCACAACAGTAGTGGGGGGGAGAGGGAAGGAAGGAAGGAGTGGGAGGGGAGGGGATAGGGGGGATGCGTGACTGCATTGCAGCTCCCCCGTCAATAGGCGGACCCCCTCCCGGCCCCATAAAGCCATCGGAGTCGAAGCTGGCAGCCTCTGCTGTCTGAGATCGCTTGGAGCGGGGCTGCGGAGGAAAGCTAAGGTTGGCCCCCCCATGCGGCCCAAACCAAATGTATGTGCGTCCCAAACCAAATTTTCATCTTCTAATGTGGCCCAGGGAAGGTGAAAGGTTGGACACCCCTGCAGAAACAGGCAATGTTACCCCCACCCCACCTCGAATGTCAAGCCTAATGCATTAAACTTTTAAAAATAATGTTCCAAAGTTTTCTAACCTCTCAAGGTTTTTTCTCACACTTGCTTTTCCATGTTCCTGCTTATCTTGGCCCTTTCCCCACTGCAAGAACGAGTTCACCCTGCAGCTTTCTCAAACTCAAGAGCCGATGGCAGCCAGAGGCCCTTCTGAGGGCCATTCTTATCTGTGACAGTCAAAGAACTGAGCAAACTACCACCCGTGTCTTCACCGTGCTGCTACAGCTCCAGTAGTTCATACTGCAGAGGCATTACAAGATAGCTCAGAACAGAAATACAGTGGTGCCCCGCTTGACGCTTACCCCGCATGATGTCGAAATCGCTTTACGAAGAGTTTTCTGCGATCGCTATTGCGATCACAAAACAATGGTTCCAATGGGGTTTTTTTCGCTTGACGATTAGGAGCCTGCTTCGAAAACCTTTTGTTCACTAAACGACTATTTTTCTGGCTCCGCAAAATGGCTTCCCTTCGTAAAATGGCTTCCTTCCCATCTCAAAATGGCTGCTTTCCGGACCCCTGCTTCAAAAGACAGCGTTTTTAAACAGCTGATCGGCGGTTCTCTATGGGCAATCTTCGCTGGACGATGAGGTATTTCCCCATTGGAATGCATTGACTGGTTTTCAATGCATTCCAATGATGTGGGTTTTTTTGTTTGTTTGTTTTGTTTTGGTTTTTTTTTTGGCTTGACAATGATTTCGCTTAACAGTGATTTTCCGGGAACTGATTATCATCGTAAAGCGGGGCACCACTGTATTTAATTCTCCTTAATGATTTTGAGTAGCTGTAAGCACCCTGGCAGGGGAGTTCCCCACCCCCTCCACTTTGGAAGAGATGATACGATGGACTGTAGTGTACATGATTGTAAGTGGAAGAAACATTTTTTCTGTGTGTTTCATGTTTTTTGTCTAGAGTAAATCTGAAAAATATCTGGTTTTTAAAAATTTAAAACATATTGCATTGAAGCTGGTAATGTGTCGCTTGGATCATAGCTTTAACCACGGTCTAAGTCTGATTAGACATAAATTTTACAGTACCACTGTATTGATTCTCGGCCACAGTGGTTCTTTATCCCACCACTGTACCCCTGTATTCAGAGGTAGCACATGTCAGAATTTTTCCCTTGGGATTAACAATGAGGTAGAATTGTTATCTTCATGCTCTCTTTTGGAAATGCTTTGAACCCTTGGACCCTTTTTGCCATACCCAGGAGGACATTTCTATAACAAGATGCTGTTCCCCCTGTAACAATTCTAGATTTCTGTGATGAAAACCTTGTGGGGTTTGGGAAGTTGTTTGTTTTATTGAAGATTTGTGCTTCATATTTAATTTTTTTTTCTACCCATGGAAAGGTATGTGTATTTTGTAATATAAGGGCTCAAAGCTATAAAGTGTATTAAAAGGTAATATGTCACTCTAAGGGGTGCACTGGTCTTTCTGCCTTTTCTGTTTTACAGTTACAGTTTTCTTGTTTTTCCCCCTCCACATTTCTTGCAAATGGTTCTTGAATGTGTTATTTATGTAACTCAGTTAAGAATGGTTGGTATTATATTAAAACTGAGATTTTGTCCCACATAGGCAGTATAACAGCTGAGACCATGATGGCGATTCTTCGGGATAAAGAGAGTGGCATTAACATGGAAGGCAGCTTTATGACCACTGGGAGCATGGTTTCCATACTGCCTCAGGAGCCTCACCTCCCTTGCATACATTTCTTTACTGGAACCCCTGACCCTGACAGGTGATGCAAACAATTTGTCATAAAAATTAAGTCCTAGGAAGGTATCTTCTCTTTCTGCAACTTGCAGAAACTTTTACCTTTTTTAAAAAATAAAAGGCTACATATTTATGAACATCCAAAATATAAGCCATAATGGAAGCACCTACCTGCTCATGCATGCAAAGGAATAGTCACAGACACAGTAAACAAAACACTAAAAGCCAAAGCTGCACAATAGACATGGTTCCTAACATATTTTGAGAAAACTGATAGTCAAGAGGGATATTGAATGCTTCATCAGTTTTTATCAGGAAGTATTAAACATTCCCGTATTTTAAACCATATCTATTGTACAACTTTCAACCCTGAATGCTCACTGGAAGGACAGATCCTGAAGCTGAGGCTCCAATACTTTGGCCATCTCATGAGAAGAGAAGACTCCCTGGAAAAGACCCTGATGTTGGGAAAGTGTGAAGGCAGGAAGAGAAGGGGACGACAGAGGATGAGATGGTTGGACAGTGTCACCGAAGCTACCAACATGAATCTGACCAAACACCGGGAGGCGGTAGAAGACAGGAGGGCCTGGCGTGCTCTGGTCCTTTGGGTCACGAAGAGTCGGACATGACTTAACAACTAAACAACAATAACAAGAACAATTGTACAACTTTGTTTTGTCTTAATTCTAGGCACTTACAGTCCACTAACAGTTAAGTCTCCACTGATTGAGACAGCTGAATTGAGTAGTTAGTTTGCAATGGGATTTATGTTGAATGCCATCCAAGATACAATAATGCTGGTTGCTAGGATGTGTTTTAAATTTGAAAATGCAGAAAGGGTGCATATAGAATGTAAGTTTTCTAATTTTTTTGTTTGGTGTTTTATTTTATTCTCTAGGTCTCTGTTTAAACCTTTTATTTTTGTGCCAAATATTGTCCAGTTGGTAAAAACAAGTTCTCCCATGTTTGGCCCTGAGGATCCTGTTAAAAAGCAACCACGATTTCAGACTAAGCCAGATCGAAGGCATGAACTCTACATAAAGCATGAGAACTCAGCTCTTATGTTGGAATCCTCTAAGGTATGTTTGTGTAAGTTACATCTGTATAGCATGAAGTGCTCAGGTTTTAAAACAGAATTCAAAATAAGGCTTTATGGAAGTTGCTCCATGGGAGGAAAACATGGATTTGAGACCTTGGGGTATAGAGGGAGACTGCTCTGCCACATAACCTTTCAGTCACAGGGTGACCCATATTTTGTAAAAGGTCCAGAGGATTTGTGCAGACACTGCTGGAAAATCTAGCTGCACCCACATCTTGATTATGGGCTTCCCTTTGGCATCTGGTTGCCACTCTTGTGGTGGAACGTTGGACTCAATAGGCCTCTGGTCTGAGATAGCAAGGGGTCTTCTTTATGTTACGTAGACTGTGTTTTGCAAACTGAATATTCAGTTGCTTCATGGCCTGTTAGGAGTGTTAGTTAAAAGCATGGATAGGGAGGAAGCAAGGAGCAAGTTGACCTGCTTAAGTCTCTCTTATTGTACTATCTTGGAGGAAAGCCTTTTTTCAGAACTCACCAATGGGAGTAAAGTTTTGAAATGGATGCAACTCTGAATGTGAGTCCTTTATTACTGTATCAGATGGGAGGGGGTGGGGATGGAATGTCTAAAAATCTCAGGCAGCATTAATAAGGTATTTCCCATAGAATCACAGAGTTGGAAGAGACCACAGGGGCCATTGAGTCCAACCCCCTGCCATGGAGGAACTCCATCAAAGCACTCCCGACAGATGGCCATCCAGTCTCTGCTTAAAAACCTCCAAAGAAGGAGACTCCACCGCAGTCCGAGGCAGCTTATTCCACTGCCGATCAGCTCTGACTGTCAGGAAGTTCTTCCTGAGATTCAGGTGGAATCTCTTTTCCTGTAGTTTGAAACCATTGCTCCTTGTCCTAGTGTCTGGAGCCATGGGAAACAAACCTGTCCCTTCCTCGACGTGACATCCCTTCAGATATTTAAACATGGCTATCAAGTCCCCTCTTAACCTTTTATTTTTGGTAAGGCTAAACATTCCCAGCTGCCTAAGCCACTCCTCATAGAACATGGCTTCTAGACCTTTGATTATTTTTGTCACCCTCCTCTGGACACGTTCCAGGTTGTCAACATTCTTCTTTAATTGAGGTGCCCAGAACTGGACACAATACTCCAGGTGAGGTCTGACCAAAGCTGAATAGAGTGGTACATATAAGCTGAAACTCTGAGGAAGAGCTTTCTTGTAGAGCAACACACTGCTGTGGTTCATTATAGGTCTCTGCTTACCCACAAAGATGCACAGACTGTGATACAGCACTCTTTAAAGTGAATGTAAATTTAGAAATATATTTCTTATGGTCAAGCATGATCTTGTTAATCTTATTTTAAAACTTATTTGTCGCAGGAGAAGTGTGAAGTCATGATGCAACAGATCCGAAAGCTGGAGAAAGAGAAAATCGATGAAATGGAAAATATTCTTCAGAATGGATGCCTTGATGTTAATCAAGCAGTTAATCTCTTTTCTAGCTGCATAGAAGATGAAATACACATATACGCTTAAGAAAGTAATGGCTGCTTAGCATTCTTGCTCAATTGTTGCCTTCCCAAAGGAGTTTTGCTCTTTGCTTGTTTGCCAGTTCGAGGCAAACTGCAATCAATCTGGAAGAGAACATTTTGATATTAAGGTGGTGAACTGTAACTGCTAATTGTTAAGTACCGTTTTCAGCCAAGCACTATCTGTAAAGTAGTTGTGAAAATGCATTCATTTAGGCTAAAATTCCATACACACTTCTTCACCTAGTAAAAGTAGATTTGAACTCAGTGGGACTTCTGAGTAGACATGCATTGAGCTGGCTGGATAGCTCAGTGATTTAAAGGCTGAGAGTTCAATTCCCCAGTGTGTCCCCTGGGAGAAGACCCAACCTGTGTAGTCTTGGGCCAGCTGCACAGTCCCAGAATGCATTGAGAAGGAGGGAATGATAAACCCTCTACCTGGAAAGTCCTAAAAAGGGTCGCCGTAGTCAGAACTGACTTGATACCATACGATTATTATTATTGTTATTATTATAATCATATATAGACTGGTACTGCCAGTGAAAGAGATTTTTCACCCTCCATAAATTCTCAGTGAGTATCTCAAATGAAGCTCTAGGCCAGTGATGGTGAACCTTTTTGAGCCCTAGTGCCCAAACTGCAACACAAAATCAACTTATTTATTTCAAAGTGGCAACACTGCAGTTAAAACCCGAATGCTGAGGTTTTAGTTTAGGAAAAAAAACAACTACTCCTGCGCTGCAAGGGTGAAATGCTTGTTGTTTTTCTATGGGCAGTATTAACAAAAAAAAATACTTACTGGTCCTCCAAATCCCCCATTGGGCTAAACTGATAATGGTCGTAATTGCACCCCTCCTCTAGACCACTGCACCAGCAGAGAAGAGTGGCGAAATCCGGGATCAGAGGACGGGTAAGTATTTCTGTATGGCGACTTATGGCTCGCGTGCCCACAGAGAGGGCTCTGTGTGCCAGCTGTGGCACATGTGCCGTAAGTTCGCCATCGCTGCTCTAGGCGCACATGGACAGATGTGGCATAAAAATGGTCTTTAATAGTTTTCTAATACGTTAATGATATGACAGCACAGACTGAAAATCTTGTTGCACATGAAAGGGAAAGAATAAAAAATAGTAATAAAGATCACATAGCAAATGCTTGCAAAAATGTCGAAGTTCATGCACATTTTTTAAAAGTGTTTTGAAGAGGAAAAGAAAGTATATTGTAAATTGTAGAGTATTTTATTTCCTAAGAAACAATGTTTCAGATTCTAGAAGAGTAACAGGTTTCTAACTGATAGAAGACTTCCCAGTTGTACTGGAGCAGCCATTCTCAATGGGGGCCATATGGCTCCCTGGGGGGCCCTGGCATATTTGAATGAGGGCACAGACTGGAAACAATTCTTCATGTACCACCTTAGGAGGTCTGTTACGCAACTTACACAATCCTGATTCAGCCTACATGTCTTTCATATTGTATTTATGGCCATGGCCAAAAAAAGGTTGAGAATGGCTGTACTGAAGCAATAAAGTTTTTAAAATAAAACTTGTTTCTGTTGTATGTTCTATATAGAGCATAGCTGCCCTTTAGAGCCATTTTTAAAAAAACAAGCACAATCCTCATCATACCAATTATTTCTGCCCAGGGCCTATTTTAATTCTTGGCTGCCTTATTCTTGGTTGATAAGAGGCTCCCATGGTAAAAGCACTGATTTACCACATGTAGCAAGAGAATCATTCCTTGGGCTGCGTTTTCAGCTCTCTGAACTCCAGTGGCTCAGCACCTTTCCTGTTCCACTTCATATCCACTACGAAACACCTCCTATTAAAATATTCAGCCTGCCCAAGTTAAGGCGGCTGTGCTGTTTGTTGTTCAACTGGGATACAGGAAGAGTCCCCGCTCAGTGATTGGTGGTTGATGGCCACAGAAATAATTTGGCCCGACACTAAAATGTCTTGCCTCGGGGAACTGGGAATTCTCACCTAGTGAGCCTCGTGTCGCAGTGGTTAAACCGCAGTACTGCAGCCAAAACTGGGGTTCAATCCTAGGTAGCCGGCTCAAGGTTGACTCAGCCTCCTATCCTTCCAAGGTCGGTAAAATGAGTACCCAGCTTGCTGGGGGGGCGGGCAATGTGTAGCCTGCATAATTAACTTGTAAACCACCCAGAGAGTGCTTGAGGTGCTATGGGGGCGGTATATAAGCAGCACGTTCCCTTTGTGCATTATATCAAGCTGTTACATATTGTTCCAATTTGAATTTTGCCATCTTCACTATGTCATTTCCCATCTCTGTTCACCTTTGATTAATACTTGTGACTATCCTTGACATTTTTCTTTCTTGATTCCGATTCTAATACACTTCAGAACTCGGGTTACTGTGGTCACTTCATCTTAGAGAATATAAAATGGTTAATAAAACCTGTAATTCTCTCTAGTTTATTCTTCACTTGAGTGGATGAGGGACTAAACATACCCAGTATAGGTTTCTCTGCGGGTGTGAGAGTATTATACATCCTTGTTACCACCGGCTCATTTTCTTTTGGTATTACATGCTTTACCCCTTCTAAATACTCCTTATCTTGACATTTATGTGTTACACGGACTTGTTCCAAACCATTCAAATCTGTTTTGTTGTTAGTACTGCAGCCTTTGTTATCAGTGCAGAAATCATTATGGCTTTTGCAATGGTTTGACCTCAGGTTTTCCTTGGCAACGGATGCAGAGGGAACCATGTTCTTAAAACATTTGGAGATTATTAGCCCCATATTCAGGAAGTCTGTTTTCCTGCCATATATTTCCCTTGACCACTGTCTGGGCGCTGTGCTGGGGTGGATGAGGGATAACAGACTGAGGCCAAACCCAGAGACATAAATACTGCAGGTGGCTGCCTCTAGTGTTTGTGGTCTGGGGGCTTCCCTGTCTTTTGGGGGGGCACTTTGTGAAGGATGACGTTCGCAGCTTCGGCATATTCTTGGACCCAGTGCTATGGATGAAATCTCAGATAGAGGCTGTGGCCCACTTCTGCCTATTTCCATCTAAGGCGGACTGCCCAGTTGTGTCTGTACCTTGACATTGGGTCTCTCACCATACTGGTTCATGCATTGGTAGTTTCGAGATTAGACTACTGCAATGCTTTCTATGTGGGGCTGCCCAGGGATTCAGTGGGCCCATTCTAGCGTGATTTACTATGCCAAGCAACAGGATTTTGGTCACCAAGTAGTGTTTTGCCTTTTGGGAAGAACTGTAATATCTGTTTATTGTCTCCCCCCCCCCCAATATGCTGAGGAGGCCCCTCCATTTTAGAAGGTGGCTACCCCACATTCTTATATGCTTGCCTAGGAAGAACCATTCCCTTCAATCCAACACACTCCTTTGCAGTCACACCTGATGGGAAACCACCCTAAAATACTGTTTACCTTGAGATGTCCCTTTTGGGAAGAACTGTAATATCTGTTTATTGTCTCCCCCCCCCCCAATATGCTGAGGAGGCCCCTCCATTTTAGAAGGTGGCTACCCCACATTCTTATATGCTTGCCTAGGAAGAACCATTCCCTTCAATCCAACACACTCCTTTGCAGTCACACCTGATGGGAAACCACCCTAAAATACTGTTTACCTTGAGATGTCCAAAATGCCCCTCTCGGGTTCCTTTAAACTGTTATTGACCACATTGTCATTGTCTCTGAAGTCATGCCTTTTCTTCCTCTCTCACAGCTTCTAGGGCATGTCTCCTGTTCAGAATTATTTCCAATGTGTTTTTCATCTGAGTTATGGTATATCACAGAAGTGAGTACACTCCCTCACGTTTCATAAATATTTTAGTATATCTTTTCATGTGACAGCACCGAAGAAATGACACTTGGCTACGATGTAAAGTAGTGAGTATACAGCTTGTATAACAGTGTAAATGTGCTTTTCCCTCAAAATAACGCAACACACAGCCATTGATGTCTAAGCTGCTGGCAAAAAAGTGAGTACACCCCTAAGTGACAATGTCCAAATTGGACACAAAGTGTTAATATTTTGTGTGGCCACCATTATTTTCCAGCACTGCCTTAACCCTCTTGGGTACAGAGTTCACCAGAGCTTCACAGGTTGCCACTGGAGTCCTCTTCCACTCCTCCATGACAACATCACAGAGCTGGTGGATGTTAGAGATCTTGCGCACCTCCACCTTCCATTTCAGGATGCCCCACAGATGCTCAATAAGGTTTAGATCTGGAGACATATTGGCCAGTCCATCACCTTTACCCTCAGTTCCTTTAGCAAGGTAGTGGTTGTTTTGGAGGTGCGTTTGGGGTCGTTATGTTGGAATACTGCCCTGTGGCCCAGTCTCCAAAGGGAGGGGATCATGCTCTGCTTCAGTATGTCACAGTCCATGTTGGCATTCATGGTTCCCTCAATGAACTGTAGTTCCCCAGTGCTGACAGCACTCAAGCAGCCCCAGATCATGACACTCCCACCACCATGCTTGACTGTAGTCACAATACACTTGTCTTTGTACTCCTCACCTGGTTGCCGCCACACACGCTTGACACTATCTGAATCAAATAAGTTTATCTTCGTCTCACTGGACCACAGGACATGATTCCAGGAGTCCATGTCCTTGGTCTGCTTGTCTTCAGCAAACCGTATGCGGACTTTCTTGTGCATCATCTTTAGAAGAGGCTTCCCTTCTGGGACGACAGCCCTGGAGACCAATTTGATGCTGTGTGTGGCATATGGTCTGAGCACTGACAGGCTGACCCCCCGCCCCTTCAACTCCTGCAGCAATGCTGGCAGCACTCCTACATCTATTTCCCAAAGCCAGCCTCTGGATATGACGCAGAGTACGGGCACTCAACTTCTTTGGTTGACCATGGTGAGGCCTGTTGTGAGTGGAACCCGTCCTATTAAACCACTGTATGTTCTTGGCCACTGTGCTGCAGGTCAGTTTCAGGGTTTTGGCAATGTTCTTATAGCCTAGGCCAGTGCCGGCGAACCTTTTTGGGCTCGCGTGCCAAAACTGAAAAACAAAACAAAAACAAAAACCTAGTGGACAACATGCTGCAGCAGCGGTGGTGGCAGTGGAAGTGGTGGAGGAACGGGGAATCCCGGGCACAGAGGTGCCTCAAGACCCCACTCTGGATCCGCTTTCAGCACCAACTACTCTAGATGCGCCTGCCAAAGCGATGCCTCAAGACCCCACTCCGGATCCGCTTTCAGCACCAACTACTCCAGATGCGCCTGCCAAAGCTCCAGCACTGCAGCTGCAGCTGCCTTCTCAGGTTTGGCTGCGTGGGGGGGAGTAGTGATCTGGTGACTTATGGCCTGTGTGCCGGCAGCAAGGGATCCGCATGCTAGCTATGGCACATGTGCCATAGGTTCGCCATAGCTGGCCTAGGCCATCTTTATGTAGAGCAACAATTCATTTTTTTCAGATCCTGAGATAGTTTATGACCATGAGGTGCCATGTGGAACTTCCAGTGACCAGTCTGAGAGAGTGAGAGCAATAACACCTGCTCTCCCTTCACACCTGAGGTTTGTGAAGACAGCAAATAAGTCCAAGATGGCATCCCAATAGTTGGATGGGAGTGTTTCTCTCACTTCTTCAGTCTGTTTTCTTTTCTTTTGGTTGCTTTGCTTCATTTACTCCTTTGAACTGTTCTCCCACATCTGGTAAGTGTCCTAGTGGTCGCTGACCTGTTTTTGGAAGATGAGGAAGAGAGCTTGCCTGTCCCCCGGTTATGCTATCCAGCACCAAGGGAGACCGGAGGGTGGGAGGGGGAGTTGCCATTGTTTTTAAGGACACCTTTGAGGTTGTCAGGCTCTCTGCTGTGGTGATGCAGGGCCTAGAGGCCCTCCACATGTCAATTGGGGCCAGGGACAGTATTGGGATCTTGCTGGCATACAGTGTGCCCCGTGATCCAGTCACCTCCCTACTGGAGCTAACCGACTTCATCTCTGTGGCTCTGTTGGGATCCCTGAGACTAATTGTCTTGGGTGATTTCAACATCCATGTGGAGGCGGAGGTTACCAGTCCGGCTCTTGAGTTCTTGAAAACCATGACTTCCTTGGACATGTCCCAACATGTTAATGGCCTCACACACATGGGAGGCCACACTTTGGACCTGGTTTTCTCCACTGAGCAGAGAGTGTGGCCCGATGGTGACTGACCTTTGGTTGGTCCCCTTGTCGTGGTCGGACCACCACCTGATAAAGTGCAATCTCACAGTGGCCCTCCTTCCCTGTTGGGAGCAGAGACCCATTTTCATGGTCCACCCTCGCACGCTACTGGATCCTTATTGGATTCTAGGATGCCATGTGTGGGATTCCGACTGACCTGGCTGGCGCTCTTGTTGAGGCCCTGGTGGATGTTTGGTATGCTGCCGCTGAGAGGGCTGTAGACACAATCTCTCCTAAACTCCCTCTCAGTTGCAGAGCTCGACCAGCACCTTGGTTTAACTAGCAGCTGTGGGCTATGAAGTGGAATAGGAGGCTAGAGAGTGTCTGGAGGCAGAACCCGATGGAAAATAACTTAAAAGCTGCCAAGGTCACATATAACCTCTACCTTGCAAAGGTAGAGGCTGCTAGAAAAGCCTACTTCTTTACTTCGCTGTTCAGATAGTGAAGCATGCAATCAGCAGGCGGAACTTTTCCGTACAGTACACAACCTATCTGGAATTGGCCACATTGACTGGCCTCCATCTAGCATTTCTTGTGACCAATTTACAGCATTTTAAAAATCAAAAGTGGAGGCCATCCGCTGGGATTTTGCACTCTATTTGAAAACAGTGGATTGAGCTGTGACATCCAGCACAGCGTCTTGTCTGTTGAGAATTACTCAGTTTCAACCTGTGACGTCCGCAGAGATGGACAAGGTCCTTGATCGCTGCTGAGCCACCACCTCCTCCCTTGACCCTTGCCTGGCCTGACTAATCAAATCTGCCAGGCCTGTGATAACTGAATGGACCACTGAAATAATAAATGGGTCTCTTCTTGAGGGCAGAACCTTGCCCTTAAGGAAACACTCATTACACTCATTAGAAAGAAACCGAGCTTGGCGGTGGACATTGGTGATTATAGGCCCGTTGCCAATGTTTCTTTTCTTAGCAAGGTAGTTGAGAGGGTGGTGGCAGACTAGCTTCAGGCTCTCTTGGATGAAACTGATGCCCTGGATCCATTTCAGTTGGGCTTCAGGCCATGCTACAGCATGGAAACGGCATTGGTTGCCCTGCTGGATGACCTACTTAGGAAGGCCAACAGAGGCAAAATGTCCTTGCTCTTCCTCCTTGATATCTCAGCTGCCTTTGATACTGTTGACCACGGTATCCTCTTGGGTAGGCTCTCGGAGTTGGGGACTGGTGGCCTTGCTCTCACTTGACTCCAGTCCTTGAAGGGCCGTCCCTAGAGAGTTCAGCTTGGGGAGAATGTATCCGCCCTGTGGTCCCTCAGTTGTGGGGTCCCGCAGGATTCGATCATCTTCCCAATGCTGTTTAACATCTATAAGAGGCTGTGGGGGGTCATCTGGGGATGTGGAGCTTCGTGTCTCCAATATGTTGATGACACCCAGCTCTGCATCTCCTTTTTTCCATCTGCAGTGGATGCTGTTCCGTCCCTTGGGTGCTGCCTGGAGACTGTTTTGCAATGGATGCAGTCGAATGGACTAAGGTTAAACCTGGACAAGACAGAGGTCCTGTAGGTGGGTGGCCTCGATGTCAGTGGTTTGGGGAACTCCCTCTCTTTTTTGGGGCGGTCTCTCACCACAAAGAATTCAGTTCGCAGTCTGGGGGTCCATCTTGATCCAGCAGTTACCATGGAGACCAAGGTAGCATCCATGCCTTTACATCTTAGGTGGATTGCTCAGCTGCATCCCTATCTAGACGTGGGGACACTCACCACGCTGGTCCATGCACTCATAGTCTCAAGAATAGACTACTGTAATGCTCTCTACGTGGGGCTTCCTTTGAGAGTGATGCGGAAGCTCCAGATGGTCCAGAACACAGCGGCCAGGTTATTAACAGGGGTGAAAAGATTTCACCATATTTCCCCCACCCTGTCCGCCTTACACTGGCTACCTATTCACTTTAGCATTGATTTCAAGGTGTTAACCATTACATATAAAGCCCTTAATGGTTTAGGACCTCGATACCTGGCAGAGCGCCGCCTTCTGCCCAGTTCCACCCATATCACCTTCTCCGGTCAGGCTGGGCGGCTGAGGGGCCTAAAGCCAAGAGATCCACCTGGCTTCTTCACTGAGGGCCGTCAATACCTTGAAGACATGGCTATACAGACAGGCCTTCCCTACAGCCATTACCTAGCCTATCTCCCCTTTTCTTTTTTCTGTCTTCTTTTCTTCCTTTCCCATCTTGGACTCTGTGATCAATCTGGATTTTACTTTTATGTTATACGTAAACTGCCCAGAGTAGACACGTTCTAGATGGGCAGTATATAAATCTAATAAATAAATAAATATTGTGACACTAATGGGTCTCTTAGGGGTGTACTCAACTTTGTTGCCAGTGGTTTAGACATTAATGGATATATTTTGCATTATTTTGAGGGGCAGCACATTTACACTGTTACACAAACTGTGTAGTCAGTGCTTTACATTGTAGCCAAGTGTCATTTCTTCAATGTTGTCAAATGAAAAGATACTAAAATCTTTATGAAATGTGAGGGGGTGTACTCACTTCTGTGATATACTGTAGGTCTTTCTACTTTTTGTTTCTCATTGGATAAAATGAGTTGGTGCTCCTCCATTTCTTTTCCCATTGAATAATCCACTGTGGCAATCTGCATGCATGTTTCTCATTTATTGACCAATTAATTCTACCTTACAGCATTTAATAAGTTTTACGATTTCTTGGTCTTTATGAATTTGCTTTAGTAATACTTTGTTGGTCACTTTCTATCCCGGAATTAGTTAGTCTCCTTTGATAAAGATGCACTTCCAATAATTATATCTTTTTATATCAGCCTGTGTTAACCTTCATGACTCTATGCCATACAGCAGAACCGAGAACAGGTAGCACTGTACAATATCCACTCTTAAAACCATTCTCCACGTTTTCATTTTGGATCTTTAGTTCCACTTCTTGGACTGCTAGCTTCTTTCCTGATTAGCAGAAACTTGCTTTTCTTAACATCTATTTCTGGCTATATTGATTACTTACTCCTTTTACTTTATTCAGTAACCTTTTCGGACCATCTAAACTATCTGTGTGGCATAGCATTTAGAATGCTGTGCTATAACTCAGGAAACCTCGCCTGGTACATTAGGTACCTATACTGTACATAGAAACCATTGTCTTCAGCTTTGAAAAAAAAAACACACAACTAAGAGATAGCACATCTGCATTTATTGAGAAACTGGCACACCAAGAATGCAGAGATACCAACCACTTTCAAAACACATCTCTCCAAAATTCTTTCCAAAAGCATGCTTGCTTTTAGAAATGTAACAGCAGCATTCCTTACATTTCAGCTGCAGCTCAAATTAAGCCACACTATATAAACAGTTTTCTTCGTTGCAGAAGATAGGACTGTTTAATGTAACATGAGGAAAATCTGTCAGTGTGTTAGTTCCTGTGCACCATGGACACTGCATGGATTATCTGCCTGAGAGTAAAAAAGGACATGGTTTGTTTACATTTCTCATGCACATTGCAGTACACGCTATGGTGGCTACTGAAGAGATTAGGACATCCTCCTATTAGGAGGGGCTGTCCACCACAGGTTGCAAGAATCCTCCCCACCCACCCACATTCACACTGCTACAAAAATAAATGTTCACATCACACATCCCGGAAAGGAATGAAGATTTTGATGGAAGAGAAGCGGTCTCATGATACAGGAAAGAAACTAAGCCAGGGGACAATGCTTCCTTCAGCGATGCTGGCAATCTAAAAACTATGCAAAGTCTTTAGAATTCTTTTTGCCTTTTAAAAAGAGTAAATAAAACCATTGCTCTCTGCCACTTCTATCCTTTCATGGCAGCTTAGGAGTAAAAAAAATATGACATTGTATACAAGTCAGTGTTCTACAGATGAGAAATCTGGAACATTAAAAAATACAGAAGTTGTAATGGACAGGAAGTTACTGGCAGTCAGTTTAATTTAAATCCATTATTAACAAGCCTATGAACAAAAGCTTTCAATATCTATATTTCAAAGTTATCTAAAAATATATCAATAAGAGTTCTTTAATTGCATAATGAAAGTAGTACTCAAGTTCAATTCAAGTATTTGGTGCTTCCTTTTAAACAGGCTGTTTGCTTAATTAAGAGGTGCAAAGTAACCACAACTTCACAGATTTAAACTGAAGTCAGGATGTTTACTAGTTTGAGGTCTGTGAAACGAACGGCTCAGTATTCAGTAGTTATATGCCAACCACTCATCTCAGAACTATTAATGATGGAAAACATTTTGGAAAAGAAATTACACTTGGGCAGAAAGCTCTATAAACTGTTAATGGAACGTTAAGTCCCACAAACATCACTTAGTCTCAAAAGGGCGCTCTGATAGGAACCATGACCATCAGCAGCAGAAGTCATCCTCTTCATTCTAATCCTCCAACGCCAATGTCCCTCTCCCTCTTCATGATCACTGTGTCCCACAACTGGGGATTTTTATCTTCAAAAGGGAAGAGACTGTACCTTCCCCAAATGCATTTTATATGCTGATCCTGATTTTTTTTTACACTGCATGATACTAACACTGAATTAAACTGAAGAGGAGGAACACAAAAGATTCTTCAAGATTTGGCGTACCGGCAAGGGAACTGTGTTTTAAAACAACTGTTATTTTAAAAATAAAATAAACAAAATGCTGTATGGCAGTATGGATAATATTACCCTTTTGAATTTCCATGATTTGAAATAAGTCCCTGAAGCAATCAGAATTCATCAGCATTCAAAATGCAAGACATAATTCTCTTTGGGTAGAAGACAAACTTATGACTAAGATGACATTGTAAAAATGTGCACTGAATTTGGGGTAAGGCTCTCATTGGCTAGCTTCCAAGTGACTCCTCACACCCATGGCTCTTTTTTGTTGCTGCTCTCCCAGGTATAAAGTGATAGTACAACTGCTCATCCCGGAATTCAAATTCATTGGCAATATGCTGGACGATGCCTCCTTTCACCAGTTTCTCTCCATACACCACAGCTTCTCCACGGTCTGAAGCAAGGCCAACTTCAACGAGCCATGTCACCAGGTCAGAACCAAAGAAGACCCCCGTCACAGTCTTTGTGCCACACCTGTATGTCAAAGGAAGGATTCACCCATACGTTCTGTAAATCTTGTGCCACCACTGTTTAATGGGGGTGGGGGAATAAGAGGGAAATAAGGAAAGACAGCATGATAGTTAGAAGTGTTAAAAGGTGGATCAGCCATGTCTATTAAAGTGTCTTCATTTTTGGGCAGATCTGGATCACCTTTTTCCTAATTTGTGTTTAAAATGCATGCACAAATCTACTAAAGGTAAGACATGCATAAATCATAGTTATGTAAATTAGTAATATAGATTGGTTAATCATTTAGAAATTATAACAAGAAGACTGTATTCAAAATCTCTTTTCTGTGCATACTCTTTCCATCTGCAGAAGATTTCTGACTCAGTGGAGGACTTTGACCACTGATGAAAAGAGGAAGGAGGAAACCTTAATCACTTCCCCCATTATCCACCTCAAAAAATATACTCTGGAGGGCTTGGGGACTGTCTGGAACAATGGATGAGGCAGTACTGAGAGGGCTGCATGGGCAGAGAGAACTAGCTGCAAAGGCTATTATTCTATTCCCTCCTTCCTCATGAGTTGGAAAAACAGCTGCATTCCACTCCCAGAAATCAACATCTCCCCTTTGTACACAAACATGCACCTTAAGTGTGAGAAAAACATCAGTCTACTCTCAGACTGCAAACAGCCTAAAAGCAATGGATTGTTCATAAAAACTTTCCTTGCTGTTGGAAAACTAGGTGCCCAAGGGTAGAACCCTACACAGTGGGAAAATTGCAAATGGATCCATTGTCAAGTCACATCCAGAAAGTCAGGTTTTCCCAGATGAATCCAATCTAGCCAACCACAAAGTCAGCAGAAAGAGAGGAGGAAATTGGCAAACTGCCTTGCTCACAGTTTGTGAAGGCAGCTTTGATGTGGCCATCCAGATCTGCAGGAAGCATGGCTGCATCAGAGCTACTTTAACACACTGCTGATTACAAAGAACTAACATTAACAAGCTGCCAAGTAGCAATTTCATCCTTGCTGTCTGTTGTCTCCTCACACTTTCCACCCTTTAGTCTACAGATGCCCTAGTGCACCAGTGTTTGGACTAAGCCCTTAAAGAAACAATAAATGGTTTGGAATTAAAGGGTGCTCAGTTGACAATAACAATGGAGTAAAACTAGATTTTAATGGATTTTTAAAAGCAGATTTTTCAAGTATAAATAGAATACTTGCTATCACTGTATAATAATAGTAATGAAGCTTGCTTATTCTTCTGAAGCTTTTATTAATGTGCAAAACACCAGGAATGACAATGGAAAAGGTTCTATTTCCATTTATACAGCAAGACAAACTTGTTAATAAATGATAATAGCAGACATGTCATTTCTAAGTTTGCCTGCAATAGTGAGTGATTCATGTTTTCTTAATCTTATATAGGCTGTTTTCTAAAGTAAAAGCAAGCCAGCACAAACTACGCAAAATAGTAATCAATCAAGATGCTTCCTATTATTTTAATTAAATTATGCAGCAGTTAATTGGATTAATGAAGCAAAGCATGGCCAACAAATGAAGTCTTTGGACAAAAAAGAAAGATTTCGGATGCCAGGAATTCAGTGAAGAAGACAGAGAACATTAGAAGAACAGAAAAAAGTGAGGCCAAGGCATTGCACACATTTTTCATACTATAGAAATAAGAGGAATATTACAATACACATATTCAAAACATACACTACCACTTAATTTCAAGATTTAAACCATCCCAATATGTGCATTTTAAAAGAAGTTGCTCACTGAAAATAATTTAGGAAAAAGAAGCTTCCAAAGATTCTTCTAAATTTGACAGAAGTTTAAAAATAAATCAATAATGCATTATTCCTTCTATTCACACCTCTGTATTTATGCCCCCCAGAAAGATTATCAAGGATATGTGCAATGCTAAATTTAGAACCTCATTATTTATATCTGAAAACCTGGAGACAAACTCAGAATTACGATTTAGGACGACAAGCATGATACAGGTGGAGATCCAAAGGAATGAAGAAGCATGCCACCAAATCCAAGAGAAACACCACCAAGAACTCCAAAGTACATCTGGTAAGAAATGACATCCAAGGCTTTGGGTTACATGCCGCATGTACTCCATGGAAGAAGTCAGCATCTTCTTCTACTGATAGTTTTGCTTATTATATTCCTTTTCACCTTCACCTGAAACTATGGCCAATGACTTCAGCATGTTAACATCAATTCAAAGGAAGCATCTTCAAAATAGTTTCCCACCATTTTGATTTAAGACCAAACATACCTTGGTTCAGGAACATACATGGACAAGTTTAGAATTATTCACCAGTCTATTTAGCATTATTTGGAAGTGTTTCCAGCACAACAAGACACACAAAGATTATTGACATATTAATGTTAATGCATAGTATACATTCAGCTCAGGAATAAGAACATATTAAATGCAGCTCTGCACTGATAAACAGCCCCACCTTCTATCTTGGACAATGCTCCTTACACATGTCTCTTTATGGTAATTAACAAACTGCTGGCATGCCATCCGGATTTCCTCAGGTACAGATGATTCCCTGCGTTCCACTGTTCTACCGCCCCAGAGGAATTCAAACCTAGGTAGCAAAAGGATACCATTTCTATTTAAAATAGATAACAGAGCTGCTGGTGAAGGGGATATAGACCAGTGAGAAAGAATACTGACAGGATAAAGAAAGCTTGTAAATTTTAAAAGAAAGCTGGTATTAACATATCGGACTGACCAAACTGAACATAAATGTGATATTATGCATATGTTGAAAATTACCTTCTTTTGAATGGAAGAATAATTAAATGCTTGTCCAAGCCAAAAATTCCAAACGAAATGAACCCCTGCAAAAGGAAAACAACAACAAAAGGAAGATGCAGCAGTGCATTAAAATCTCAAAAATTATTTGCAGTCAGTCGTGAGAAATTATGGCATTTTACTGATTCTACTTTCAGTGTATTTTCTTTAATATTATATTCCACATTGACATAAAGAGAAAAATTTAAAACCACAGTGAGAGACAAAGCCTATCAAATATGGTTAGTTAGCGTCTTTGTAAGATACTTTAATGCAGTGGTACTTAACCTTTGTTACTCGGATGCTTTTGAACTGCAGCTCCCAGAAATCCCAGTCAGGACAGCTGGTGGTGAAGGCTTCTGGGAGTTGCAGTCCAAAACACCTGAGTAACCCAAGGTTAAGAACCAGTGCTTTAATATAGTAAGTTGCAACTGGAATAGACCCATTTTAAATCAATGAAACCTAATGGAGGAATTAACTCACCAAATCTCCATTGACTCAATGAGCATACTCTAGTGCAATTTACTGTACTAAACTACATAATTTCAGTCACTCAGTAAGTTCAGTGAGTAGGCTAATAAAAAATAAATGGCTTACTTCAAGAAGGGAATGTTCTTTATATTAAAAAAATGAATCCCTCAATATGTTGTTTTTTTACATAAGTACCAATAATGGAAAACAGTAACTACAATATTAGGATATGGGTACGGCTTCTTTTGAAGCTCATGGTGTGATAACTAAGTTGGGGGCTCTCTCAATGACTGCAATTCTCTCCACAATGATTTGTTCTGCTTGGTCTAACAACACAGCCATGTTTTACGTAGGAAACAGACATCATTAAACATCTGTATTTATTTAACAAGATTTCCTGCCCCCAAGACAGACTACAGCTAAATATTTAATGCAATTCATCAGCATACATGAATAAAAATTAATGATTTCTCCACAATATTAATCAAAGTGAAGATGAGCCAAGGAGTATAAGGTAAGCTAGTCAATCCCACTTCCATTTAAAATGTAAGTTATCTTACACCTTTTTACTCAGGGTCAGTGGGAAATGCTTCAAATAAATGTGCACAAGACTTAGTAATAAATCTGAAGTTCAATATTAGTATCTACCTGACCAAAATTAAATACAGCACAAAAGAACTGCAGTTCCACATAGAGTCTTCCAGGTTCCTGGTTGAACAACCACCACAAACAGCTGGATAAATTCTGTGTAAGAAAAAAACAATATATGCTAACATTTGTGTCTTAAAAGTTAATTTTGTGACTTTTATTGCAATTTATGTTGAGACCTGAAGTTAAATAATATATATGCTTGTTTAAGAAAACAAAATTATTGTCCGACAGAAAACAGGAAGTTCAGTACTTTGTCTCTATGTTATTGGACTACTGTTAACACAATCTATTATTTAATGACAAGTTCATGAACTGTTACTGCATACAAACAAAGCTGGGTGGTGAAAAAGCCACCTAGTCTCCTGAATTCCAACCCTACAAGCTGCTGTGCTACTGTGTAAACATTTGCAATGGGCTGGTACTCCCAGAATTATGCCTAGGACATTCTTGGAGAATTTTGGGAGTTGAAGTTAGAAAAAAAGACTGGCACATCCTTCATTAATAATAATATGTAAATACCAATAAGTCAGGCGTGCATAATTTGTTTTCAGAACAATCCTTAAAGGAACAAGCGATCCTTTTCATGGACATATCCACTAGTTCATAAATGTCACAAACATAGCATACTCCCTGACTAACTAATCTGTCTGCCCGTACAAATCTTCATATGTCACACTGTTTCTTTAGTAAGGACTATATACACTAAATCAGAAGCACTTAAACTTTATTTTCTCCTTCTCTGCAACATGGTCTTTGTCCCTCACCTCCAAATAAACGAAATACTCACGGCAAAGAGACCAACAATGAGAAGCAGACAGAGCAGCACATGTCTAGCCAACTGTTTGTCCCCAGTTTGCCGAAGTTGCTCTTCCTGAGCCAGGACACACCTCTGAGAACTACATGGAACCAAACACTGATTTGCTGAAAAATATGAAGTGTAACATATGTAGGTTTCGACTGTACCATTTTGACGTAACCTGTAACTATAGCTGATTTATGTAATGCAATTAATGCAAGTATCAAAATGTGATGATAGAAATTCTAGAATTTAAACACAAATTAGGGATATGCACAGCAGCAAAATTGCATTTCTTTTATTTCCAGTTCTTTCTGGGCACCTCTTTTTTTCTTTGCATTTTTAAAATGTACTGGCCCTTTCATTTTTACACAAAGAGAAAGTCTCTTGCATATCATTTGTTTTGTGTTTCCCATACGTTTTCTGGCACTCCAAAAGACCTAAGAAACCCTTAAAAACCACTTCAAAAAAGCAGAGGCACGGTAACAGACAATCAATCTAATGTGAAATCAAAAGAAAGAAAAATCATAATCAACCCTACGGAAAAAATACCTCACTCACCCACCAACCAATTCAAAAAACATTCAACTATCCAAAAATTAGAAAAGAGAAATGAGTATGAGTTCAGTGCCACACACTCAGCACAACAGGGATCCTCTGGGCCTGGGAAACATAACAGAAAAAAGGCAAAGAAGTTGCCACCGTGCAGGCACTGGTCACTTGGCAGAGATGCCCGCTTTCTAAAGCAACCAACAGTATGACACCAAGAAGAAAAAATGTCCATACAGTCCAGTGACACATTGGCAGAGTCACAAAGTCCACCCTACAGTCCTCACACGAGTACAGAAGCAAACAAACAGTCCTCACAAAAAACCCTAGGAAAATATACACCACTATCAGAATAAATACATAGTATATCAACCAAACAACAATTTTGGAAGGTCAATCAAACAGGGAAGGCATTTCCCCACCACAAAGGAGAAAAAATAGCAAACAAAACAATATATTGCATACGCCTAAAAGATCTCCTGTATGGAGAATTAGTGAAGGGAAGCCGCCCCCGAGGGAGACCACAGCTGCGTTACAAGGACATCTGCAAGCGGGATCTGAAGGCCTTAGGAATGGACCTCAACAGATGGGAAACCTTGACGTCTGAGCGTTCAGCCTGGAGGCAGGCGGTGCATCATGGCCTCTCCCAATTTGAAGAGACACTTGTACAGCAGACCGAGGCAAAGAGGCAGTCCCGAAACAAGCAAAACCAGGGAGCTGGACAGGGGACAGATTGGATTTGTCTCCAGTGTGGAAGGGATTGTCACTCTCGAATTGGCCTTCTCAGCCACACAAGACACTGTTCCAAGACCTCCATACAGAGCACGATACCATAGTCTCTCGAGACTGAAGGATGCCTACACACCTTCTCTCAAAAACCAAGAATAAGCAACAGAAAGAGAGGGGAGACACAACCAAAGCCCCACCCCCTAAGTACTAGAATATGGGGAGATTCCTTCTCCCATTATCACTTGATGCCTTTTCTTCTTTTCTCTGAGTCCAGCAGGCAAGCCAGGCAGACACATGGTCCTCTATTGCCAGTGCCTCGTTCATGGGATTAGTGGGGGATGGGAGCTAACAAGCAAGAATAACAGAAAACTGAAGACTTTTAAAGTAGCACAAGTTTTATAATAAATATGTAAATTGGTAACATTAAAATACTTATCTAGTATTATTTTCAACCTGGCTTAAATGAATGAATTAATGGCTGCAAAAGTGGATTTTTAAAAATAGACTGTTGTCCCTTACTGCATTGAATGTGTTTTGATGGTTTTTTTTTGGGGGGGGGGTACTGTGTTCATTGAGCCTTCTAGCATTGTATACTCATTGTTACCCGTCTTAAGTATTGTCTTTTAATTGTTGCAAGCCGCCTTAGGTCCTTTTTAAGGAAAAAGGTGGATTAAAATTATTTTAAACAAACAAACAAACAAATAAATATACCAGCCTATAGTAGTACATTACCTGTCTCAATAGACAGAGAGCAGTTATCATTGATGCTAGAACTACAGGCTGGCTCTCCTTCAGAACAGCACAAGTCTCCATTTTGTTTTTGGCATGCGCAGTGCTCTATAGAAAAACACAATAAAGCAGTATTATAACCTAGTACTGTATAGAATATTGTGATAAGACGTGGCTCTTTTAAGAGAAAGCAACTGACTGTGGGTGTGCAGTTCTACTGTAGTAGATACATTTCTGGCTGGGTTACATCTACGTAGATATTTGTGTACATTTGCCTGAAGAGGCGTATATCTCATACATGTGTGAATTAGGTTGTGCAGATCATTTCATTCCAGCAGATATGTTGACTTGGCTGCCACTAGAAAACTCTTTGTCCAAGAATGCTAGAAGAAGGATTAATAGCTCCCCAAGCAATGTGCTTTAAGGCATTTTAAGACTTCTGTTCAGCCACCACTGCAAGGAGCCCTATCTTTCATCTTCATGCAAGAAGTTCTACTTCATATCGTATGGAAAGGATGAGTAACACAATGCAAGCACACCATGAAGAAAGTTTGGAAGTGCAGCAGCATCCTTGGAGCAAAAAAACCCCAGTGACAAATGACAGCAAAAACAGAATGTCTCTGCCTGGCAAAGGTCTGAATATCACAGTGTGGACAATGAACAACTGTGTGACACCTTCTCTCCTAAAAACTTATGCAGCCCTTCTGTGTACAGTACCTCTTTCAAAGGAAGTGTCTGCCGGCAAATCAGACATACTGGTCAAAGGTCTACTTCGTCCATTCACTTCCCTGTCTGGCTCCTCAGTTTGACTGTGTTGGAAATGCTGATGCAACACCTCATAGTTGGCCTCCATTCCAGATCTGTTCATACACATGAGTGAAATGCCTGATATCAATATGCTGATGGATACAACAACTGCTGTGGTAATCATCTGCCCACAAAGGAAGAAAGGAAGGGGACAAGAGTTATATGTGTCCATTGCCATCTGAAAGTGTGTGTGACTCATCAATCTGAAGAGGACAGTTTAACATTGCTGTATCTCTACAACAGTGAGCAAAATGAATGCTATTTTTGTTTATCCAGTCTTCTATGCTAGATTTCAGAACATGTTCATTATATTTAACTTCAACTTAACTTTTCCAAACTTAATCCTCTGTGCAACACACATATCTCATCCTTTTGATCCTCTACAAGTCACACAAGCATGCTCATGTTATTGTCTATAGCAGTGGTCCCCAACCTTGGGCCTCCAGATGTTCTTGGACTACAACTCCCAGAAGCCTTCAACACCACCTCTGCTGGCCAGGATTTCTGGGAGTTGAAGTCCAAGAACATCTGGAGGCCCAAGGTTGGGGACCACTGGTCTATAGCACCAAAAGGTGACTTACAGGCACAAAATGAGCTACCACTGACCAAACATCACTGTTGGTACTCTCCAATAAAATGTCACACATACTTTAATACATTCAACTTCATAAGCACAAGTGACAAGAAGAACTGTGATACGTATATCTATGTGAATTAACCCCATGACTCCAGCAGATCGTGAAAGTGCTTCCACCACTTCCTCTTTTGGGACAGTTCCACCTTCACATGCCCTTTCTTTCCTGGCTGATCTCCAATGCTTGCAGCATTTAAAAAGCTGAGTTGATCCAGACAGTTAGAAGTATGTCTCACTTCTGTATTATTCATCTGTGGGAACACTTCACCATTCCACATCTTTCACTACTGTAATCCACAGATAAACAAACAGAGTTGCCAGTAGGTGGTTTTTGTTTTTGTTTGCTGTCACTTTCTTCAACTAATCCAAGTGTGTGAATGTACTCTTTTCCACTCCTCTCTCCCTCACATATACTAAATGGGAAGTAGTGGGGGAACTGAATAGCTAATCTGTTACACTTTCACAAGAATAACAGGTTATAGGCGTTGCAGGAGAGGAAAAGTCTGGTAGGAAAGCCACCATAAAACTGAAACCACCCAGATCTTGTACGAACAAGTGAACTGCATTTCCTGCAGTTTCCAGTGTTGTTATCTTTCCTGTGGATTCTTCTTCAGGGCTAAGCATTTCTGTACACCCACCTTCAGATACTGTGCAAAAAGCTGCTTTTTAATCCACACCCTTGAAAGTTAAAATATTGCTTTCACTCTGGAACCCACTGTGACTATTTTGGTTGCATTTTATACTGGCATTTATATTGCTATTTTTATGGCAACATGTCTATGTCTTGTGAATCACACAGTCAAGTTATAATCAATTTACTGTATAAAGGAAATACATACACAAAACCCTGGTGTGTGTTAATGACATATACTGCCACTGAATAATCTGATCAGCTCTATCATGTATTGAAAGATAGATTTACCATGGACAGAATTCTGCTCATGTGCTACAGCTCACCTTAGAATAAATCAGAGGTGGTAGCTAATGTTAAGCTGACAATTCTCAATTCCAAAGGTAACTTTATATCCTCACTATTCTTTTCATATCTTCCTTCCCCACCACTTGAATTTTGTTAAATACATGGAAAACCTAGTTCTCATAGTATTCCACAACATTTGGCTGATATGTTTTGGGTAATCATAATGCCCCTTTTTCTTGAAACATGCATTTATTTTTCCCATCTAAGAGTTCATCCAAGAGTATAAGAGAAACAACAGACAGGGTCACAAAAACTGGCCTCTACTAAAGCAATTATCAAAAGATGGGGAAAGAAGAATATCCATACCTGATAATTTCCATAAAAAAAGGCAGAGTCGATATCATCAGTGTGTTTACCAGCTATTAGCAGGATTCCAACGAGAATTGCTGGGATGCTGTAGTACGTAAAAGGCAACACAAATCACAGTATAACTGAGCTTGTCGATTTCTATACTTTTCATTAATAAAGAAGCTCCATAAACTTACCCCCAACCAGCTATAATGATAAATCCAACAGGGATCTTTATGGCTTCTCTTCTTTTCAAAAGCAACAGAGAAAAAGATAAGAGACCTAGTAAAAACAAACAAATTAGATTTCTTTTAAAGGATGTATATTTTTTCAGAAACAAAAAGGCTTCTTCCTCCCCTTATCTCTGTGCATCACACAAACAATACTGCATAACTAATCTCCTGGTACATTGAGATACACTGTGAGAAACAGGAACCCATTGACTGCATCTAGAGCCTTCTGCCTGTCAAGCCTGTGCTCTGCTCCTGAGCAACGGCCCTCTCTTTACAGCAACAGCACAGACTTTGGAAATCTAGCTGCATGGCACAATCAGGAAATCAAAATTCTTAAGAACATTAGTGATGTACTTTTAAAAAGCTACAAGACAAGAAGATGCTTGTTCAAATCTCTTCTTAAGCTATTTATGGACTAAAATTACTTCAGGCTGCACATTTTCAATGGCAGTGCTGAAAGATCTGAAACTACATGGTTGAGGTAGTGGCGGCACTGATTTTCTCTACTAGGAAGTTGTAATTTTAAGATGGCAATGTGAGTGAAGGTATTTGAATTTCGGATGTGCTAAAAAAATACCAAATATCATTACCAACCTCATTTGTTAAAATAAAGAGTACTGCAGGTTGAGAGCTGGCCTGACAGAAGACTATTTTGGGGGTCTGTATCCCAAGGTATTAATTAAGGAGATGAAGACAAATAAGACTAAGGGTCGCCACCACAATGCATGTGGTTTTGCATTAGAGATGCTAACCTTAATTTTTAAAAACCCACTGTAATATGTGTGCAGTATAACACTTCTAAATGTTCAAAGCATATGACCAAGCTGTAATACCCACACAGCAATCCTTAAGTTGTGTCAGTTCAACCACTCATATTGTGGATGGGTGCGGGTAAAACTGAGGATTAAAAGAGAATGGTTTACCAAATCCCACCAAGTGATTTAAATTTTAAAAATAAAAAATCTTGAATTTGCCTTATAAAAACACACATGTTCTTCTCCTTACCTGTCCACAGAAAAGCACTATAAAGTGAACTGTACAAGAAGATGAACACAAGAATCTGCACAGAGATACTTCTCTCCTCAATAGTGAAATTCCAGATTATCATTCCAAGGCAGGCTACAAACTAAAAAACAAACAGACAGACAAACAAAAAACACATAAAACACAGCTATTTTTAGCTTAGGGTAGAGCTGCTGTACCACAGAAGAAATGGATTTGAATTTTAAAAGGAGGGCAGTTAACCAACTGATTGAATCCATCTGCATTAATTTCTGCATGAAATTCCAGGGAGCAGGGAAAGCATTTCTTTTTCTTAAGATGATGCAATCCATGTGTCTAAGCGCGTGCGCGCACACACAGACACACATACACACACACGCACACCATCTGATGCTTTTTTAAAAGAATTTCTTTTATAAAACAAACCAAAGGAGCTGCAGTACACCCAACCGGAGCAGCCTTTTAAAATAAACTTTTTAAATGGTAGTCTGATGAATTTTAAGACCGAAAAGAGAAAACATGCCACAATCCTTGTTCTCAGGAAGATAGGAACACTGCAAATACAGTGAGTTACAGCCAATGCAGCACTCATATCAAAGGAATGGATGCCTCAGCCAGTTTTCTTTACTTCCCACTGCAGATCCAAACCCCAGCATCTTTTCAAACCCCTGGGAGATCCTTTCTGGGGCATGGAGGAAGCTGGACTGGTGTATTCCAGGTGTCCATGAATTCACATTACCTTGGACAAACCTAATGCAATTCTTAATATACTGTATGTCCTTTCAACATGAAAGCAAGGTGGTATGTACAGAATTCCCAAGTCAAATTCACACCAGAGTTTTAGAAGAGTGACTGCCACATGTGTGCTGAGAAAAAACAAATACATCGTGATTTCTATTAATTGGAAAATGCTTGCTTCTAAAAGATGAGGGAAATTATATATTTATATTTTACATCATACTGACCTGAGCAATGAGTAAGTTAGTTGTAAGCATGTGAGGAAGCTGCTTGTATTTCTTACTCAAGAAAATAACACCAAGTGACCAAATCTGAAACAGATTGCAGAGTAAGTTAGTAAATTTCCTTTATCCAAAGAATTATAGTTTTAAGCTTCCTTTACATTCAAATTTTCTAGAAGTTTATTGCTGAAAAATGGTCCTCCCTACCTATGTGCCAGCATTGAGCCTTTCAGTAAAAAATTCCAGGGTTTCCCAGAAAATGCACATGAAACATAGTCTCTATTTGAGTTAGCATTCTGATTTTTAACCAGCTGGCTAATTATCAGTCCCTTTAGAAAGCCTGTCAATTGCCTAACACATTACCACCATCAATTCAGGAAGTTTTCACAAGCATAAAATGATTATAACACAAGGATGCTTCAGTTAATTTGATACAAGATTTTAATTTTAGTTCTAGGGCTCAAATGCCTCATTCCGAGACGTTTGACAGCACTGAAACGACATGGTATACAATGTTCAATACATACAGTTTAAATACACACTATGCTATACTACACAAGGCAGGCTGGATAGCTCAGTGAGACAGGTCTCTAGCTGCAGAGCCAGAGACTGGGAGTTCAGTTCCCCACTGTGCATCTTAGAAGAGTCAGCCTGTGTGGACTTGGGCAAGCTGTACAGTCCTAGGGTGGCCCCAAAAAAGGGAATAATCAAAAACCCTTGAAAAGTCATTATAAATCAGAATTGACTTGATAGCACACTATCATCATTCTCATCCTCATCAACAACTACACAACATAATATAAATCAGGCTTTTACAATCTTCTTTTTCTCTGTCTAAACTAGATACTATACAGTATTGGAGTTTGGTGCAATACACATCATATAATCAAATATTCTGACCACAGAAATTTATTTTATGAACAGCACTGGAATAAGGCTCACTCTACTCATGGAACAGTCTATTCTTGGTGAATCCAAGCTTTCATCAATTCAAGGGGAAAGGGGAGTCATTTCATTGCTGCCAGCTTTGCAGTTACATGCTGTCAAGTCACTTCTGATTTACAAACCTAATGAATGAATTATCTCCAAAATGACATTAATAGCCCTGCTCAGAGAGCTGCAAACTCAAGGCCTTCCTTTATTAAGTCACTTTTCCTCATGTTCAGTCTTTCTTTTTCCCTACTGCTGTCAACTTTCCCTAGCACCACTGGCTTTTCTGGTAAGCCTTGCCTTCTCAAGGTATGTCCAAACTCATTTTAGTTTCTAGCATGAAATCAGGCTTCCTTTGGTTTTGAACATGTTTCTCTTTCAGACAATCCATGCATCCAACATATCCTCTAATTTTCAGCCCTTCCACTCCCCCACACAGGGTTCCACCATGACCGAAACCTAATGCGATCGCTGTGCACAAGGAGGCAGCGAACCACGCGCATGCCCAGCTTAGAGGGAACCTTGCATGAATCCTTAGAGCTCTTCCAACATCACATTTCAAATGAATCTATTTTCCCTGTCCATTCTCTTCACTGCACAGCGTTTGCATCTGTGCGTAGTAATCAATACCAAAGAATGGATCATTTTGGCCATGATCTCCAGTCCTTACACTTGAGGATCTTTTATAGCTCCTCTAACTGCCTTTCTGAATCATGAATCTATCTTCTGAATTCTTGTCCACAGATTAATGACTGAAGTGAAGTATAAACAACTATTAACAATTTCAACATCTTCACTGCAGGATTAAAGCTATGTACACTTATTTATTGTTTAAAACCCACTGATTTCTGATGATTTACATCTTTTTGCCTGCTTCTGACATAAAGGACAATATTGACAGACCAGCAATAAGCAAAATGAGTGTAGTTTTTAGTATGATTTATCTGTACATGTTGGGAAGAAGCAGACAAACAGGGTTCCTCAACGAACATCCACATGTATATTCACTTAAGGAGCTATATATGTATTGTACATACTTCTTCCATACAAAAGTAGCATCTGCTGACAAATGGAAAATGCCATGATTTCACACAATATAGTGAAGATCTAGACTGGGCCAGTTGCTTATTGCACTGTTCACAAGATTAGACTGCCTGCTGATTGATAAGCACCTTGGACTGCTTGCAAAATACCAGCGGTTTTAAAATTTCAACTAGGGTGATTAGCTGCACTTGTCATCTTCATCAGCTTGTCAGAATTACACATAACATTTTACCTATAAAAGTTAAAATATTAAATAACTAAGACAGCTGGTTTCTCTTGTTCTGCTTACCTTGGCAACTAGCTGAAGAACAAATAGTACAACTTTATGAATGCTCACGTAGAACTGGGTCCCAAGGAGATTGTGGGGCTTACTTCCAAAGGGAGTGTGAGATTGTACATATTTATCTCTCAAATGTATTTTGCTTGCACATTTTGTTTTTTGCTAAACACATGCACACAGCAACACATAAGAATGAAGTGCTGGTGCACTAATACTCACCAAAGAAACAAGGCTGACGATGCTAATATCAAAGCTAACATTTTGGATAGCGGTTGACAGTTTGTTTCTATCCATAGATGGGATGGTTAATAACCAAGCAGAAACGTACATGATGGGGGCAGAGACAAAAGTGCTGATCACCATGCCAGAGGTTATCTGCAATAAGAAATAAGGATCAGCCAAGATTTTTCCCTTGAAGCTTCTTAAATGACTGCAGTTTCCTCTAACTTAACAAAAAATTTAGACAATGAAAAGTCTGAAAGAAGTGTGAAGCAGAAAAAAATAATAATGTTTACTCATTATTTTAAAAATAGGTTTAAAATATCTGGGTGACAATCTGACCCAGACTGAAGTACAGTGTAGTCTGACCCAGACTGTACACTGAACTCTATGGCCAACATCCTGTTGGGATTACTGCTCAGAGAATTGAAGTGGCAGAAGTGGCAATTTGGTTGTTTAATCAGCAATTCAACAAATAGTTGTAGCCAGTGTTGCAATTTATATTCCACATATGGTAATCCCAACAAGATACTGGACAGTATGTTTAACTCCATGTTGAACTGTGATCTTTCTCTGTGAAGAACACAAACAGCTAGTAATGCTTGCACATACAAAGAAAATCTGAATTTTAAAGTGTGGCTCATCTGTACATTTGAATATTAAAATGTGGCCCAACTGAAAAGTGTTTAAGAGACATACAACTTCAACTTCCATGTTAAACTGTGTTGCAAATATAGCCACGCCAGGAGCTGCTGGAAAGACTCCATAGAGAAATGCATAGTTTGATAAGCTGGTGTGGTTGACCAAGCTGTCGCTCTTGTCCAACAACTCCACCATCTCTCTGCATAGAAGTGGCATCAACAGTCTAGAACAAGTAAAAGAGGAAATGCCAGTAACTAAATGGAACATTTTAACAGCTTTTGCTAATCTCATGATAGCAGCATAAGACTTGTTTAAAGACTTTTTGAATAATGAAGCAAGATAATGGGCATACAGTAAAACCACCTTTTATTCACCTATTTTGTCAAGATACCACAGGCATCCAGCACACTCACCCTAAGATCAATGGCAGAACATTTTCTGTCAGAAGTGCTAAGAAATTTGTATGAAAATGCCAGTTAAAAGTAATATTTCAAAGTAACTACAAAACTTTGTTCATAACACCCCAAAAAAGTTGTAACTATTTGTTACATTTAAAATGTAACCGACGTAAGCTCTTGTTATTTCCTAAAAGTAATGAGTTATTTGCACATGGAATTAAACACATAGGTACTTTAAGGACTACTTTGCTCCCTACATTTGAAAGTAGCTAGTTACAATAAGCTTTGGGGAAAGGCAGTCCTTAAGGTATCTAAATTGTTATGGCCATAAAAGTTAAAATCAAAATGATGAACTGGGTTGGGGATTCAAACTAGCACCACAAAGCGAGCAGAAATCTCTTAGAAGTGTTGAGGTGTATTACTAATAGACCCAACCAGGAATATCCCGACTACTATATTTTGAACTAGTTGCATATTTTGAATTAGCCAGTTCTGCAACTTACATTCCACATATTGTAGTCCCAACAAGATACTGGACAATATGTTTAACTTTAACAAATTGCTTTCAAGGGCAGAAGGCATTACAGTAATCTAAGTGGATTTCAGGAGAATGTGGGTGACGGTTGCCATACTATTCTACAAAACTTGTAGGTGAAGGTTGAAATGCAGTATTCTCCAGATTACTGTTTGGCTCCTCTACAACCCCCACCTCAACTATCACCCCTCTCGTATCAGATGGTAAGCAACAACTTTTCTGTGCTTAAAACACCAGTGCAGGGGTGGGTGAAGTGTAGCCCTCCAAGTACTACTGAACGGCAATTTCTCGCTCCTCATTCAGTCATTTTATGCGTACTCTCCACTTTTCTCCTAATTAAGAGATTCAAGGTGACTTAATACTTAAAAATAGTAAAAATACATTACAATATTAAAGAACAATTAAGAAGAAAAAGATCAATCATTGGCTCTGCTGGCGAGGCTGCTGGTAGTTGCAGTCCAATAACATCCAGGAGCCTGTACTTTGTTGATCCTACATGAATGTCTTAATAAAATGTAAACAGAAACCCATTCTTCATTCCCCTTTGGGTGGAAATAAACTGCATTTGATATTTATCCAAAGCAGAAAATTTTGGAACTGGTTCATACTTTGGACCACATGAGGATCCACTGCCTTCCCCTATGATTCAAACTTCATGTTGAAATACTAGTATGCGCACGAGTGCAGGGGGTGCCCCACCTTCCCTAGCCGGTCAGCAGGGTGAAAAAGGTTGGGGACCCCTGGACTATAGCACACAAAGGACAGGCACCTGGAAGCCACAGCCAGCCTTAACCCAAATAGGTGAAAAACATGCAAAAACAACACACCCCAAATATATTCATTGCTCAGTGTCTGGGTTATTTTCAGAAGCATTAGAACTATGAGTACACATGCAGGCAGACCAAGCACTGAGATTTTTACAATGCATAATTCAGACTAATGGATTTATTTCAGTGAAAGCTTTTGTGTATTATAAAACCAACACAATTCTTTAAAAACACATTTAAGCTTTCCTTATTTTAATTAAACAGCTTAATTACGTTAAAAAGTTGCCTTAATTTAATTAACTTTACTTAATTAAATGAATTCATTAATTCAGACTAGACTAGATCTAGTCTGGGTCAGATTTTTCTGAGAACTTACATTGTAACCCATAAAAGCACACAATGAAATACATCTGCTACCCTTCAAACTGGCACCAATGTATTTTACATAATTCAGATTAATTTGCAATCGTAGGAACTGTCATCAAGACGGACCAATCAGCAAAATAAAAAAAAATGCAACCCAAAATTGCAGTTAACTATTTTCTAATCCTAGGGAAAATAAATCTGCAGCAAAAAATTTTTAAAAGGGTTTACTTCACATGACAGGAAGGTTTATGATTTAATCCCAACACTGGAAAAGTCACATAAGCACAAAAACAGGATTTAAAAAAATTAGACTTACAGTTTAGCTGTGATGAGAAGAATCAGTGCAACAAATGTACCTCTTGTCAGTTTCTTGATCTGGCCTACCATTGTAAGACCCAGATAAAAAAGTGCTGAGCCAGAAAATGAACTGGCAAGTCCATCAAGAAAGTTTTCCAAATATTCAGGAATCTTTTGGTTAAGAATGAAATTTGCAGCAATTCCTATGAAGACCATAAATACAATTGGGTTCTGCAACACTCGAAGAAGCCCAAGTCCCACAATCTTCATTTTGCTGTGGGACAGATTCCGATTGTCTCTTGATTTCTGGATTTCACAAAAGATGAATCCCAAAGGGTTTAGCATCATGAGAGATATGGGTGCAACCAAGTATATGTACTGGAGATACTCTGGATATGTAGTTTGATACAAAGCTTCAACTGTGGGGTGGGGGAGGAAATGAGAAATATAGAAAACAGTAATTTATAAGGATTTAAAGCAAAATGTACATATTTAAGTCTTTCTCATATACAGTACATGCAATGTTTTAATTACAGATCCACATATCTTCCTCTGCTTCATCAACTGTTTATGCAGAAGAGTGCTCTGAGGCAAACAACCAACACTAGAACCTAAAGAATATACAGCCTTCATCCAGACATAACTACAAAAGGGAGATGCCTTCTACTGAGTCTCGCCATTGGCCCACTGAGCTCGGTACTAACAGTTCTGACTGGCAGCATGTCCCCAGAGTTTTCAGGCAGGACTCAGTCTTGACACTGAAACTGCACATATTGTCATGACAAACATGTACTCTAACACTGAATCATGGCTCCTTCCGTGTTCTTTGTCCCATGACCTAGTCCATTATGCTTGCACTGCCCACAGAACTGACTTTATGTCCTTCAGCCTAACAAAGCAAGCAGTGAGAACCACTGTCCCAATAAGTCTTTTACCCATCCCTCAAGTTAATGTTAACATTTAAACCAAAGGCAAGATAATAACTAGAGTGAAAAGAAGGAATAACAAATAAGACTGGAGAGACTAAAAGTGCTCTGTGAACAGCAGATCATTCCCAATGCTGCTACTGGCCCATAAAAGTTCTGTTCAACTCCAAAATGGAAGAGTTCCACACATGGAATATTTCCGCTAAGGGAAAGGAAGAAGGAAGGAACTTTCATCAAATCTCCCTTCTCCCTTCAGCCCCTTGTGGCCCCTGGGAAGAAACGCCAAAGGGTTTGGGGGCTCTTCACAGACACAGCAGCCACAACTGTCAGTCAAAGATGAAAAGAAAGGCAGCAGAAGCATGCACACTCCAAAGTCTGGTAGGAATTATGTCTTCTTTCAGAGTGCTTTGGATCCTACTGTAGTCATCATTATGAACAACTTATCTAACAGCCTCCTTCAGTTTCGTGTCCTGCAGCTGTTTTTGATCTACATCTCCTAGCATCCCTGGATATTGCTCTATGGTAGTCAAACACAGCTGATGGGCACTGGGTTAAGGAAGGCTGGTCTAGAGAATATGAAAATCGAATAATGCTTTGCACAGCCATATCAAGAAGTTCTATGACAATTATTTCATTAAGGAAATCATAGCTGATGTAAGTGGTTGGCTGCAAAACTGATATGATATTTTGTTATGAAATAAAAACAAATACTGGCTGAGATGCTGAGCTTGCTCTTACAGGCAGGAGCATCTCCTGGACAGAATTCCACACACGGGATGCTTCTACTAATGGAAAGGGGGGAGAAGAAACTTTCATTAAATCTCTTTTCTCCCTCTACTCCTTTGCTGCCCCTGGGAATAGACTCCAGAGGGCAGTCTCAGAAAGAGTTTAAAAGAGCTGCAGGGAGAAAAGGAATCTGCATAAACTGACACCCCCATTTCGGCTGGAAGAATTCTCTGCTAAATCTCAGGTCTACCCATGAATGGATGAGTTTTTCTGTCCAAAGAAGCCAAGTCACTTTATTTCTTTACATATGTACTTCAAACGCTCTTGAAAAAAAGAATGGCCTTTTCTATTCCACACTTTTTTTCTTCTATCAGACTAGTCTTCAAACAAGTTAGAGACTCCCACATTACTCAGATCCTAAAGATCCCATTCATTTGTTGGCAAATTTTATCAAACTAAAGTTCTTACTTGTTAGATCTGTCCACTTTTTCTCACTTAAATTATGTTCATGCAGTAATTTATTCAGCAATGAGCATGAAGTGACGTACAGTATTGTATTTATTGTGTCTCCATGGGCAATCCAAATAGGCACAGAGTGCTTTCTAACATCCCTGGCAGGTTACTGGCTCTTGAACATGCACATATGATCTGCCATTATTAAGCCCCACCCTACTCCACCGCACTCTAGGTTCAGAAACTTCATTACCCAGTGTTAGAAGATCTCAGAAAATGAGCACGTGATCTGCGCTATGGTTGCAGGAGGAGAACTGAATTAAGACAATCTGAGATGTTGCTGCAATCCCTCTGTGCCAAAATATTTTGAAGGACTGTTTTGGACTTATTGAAAAGGCAAAGCAAAAGCGTGAATGACTGTAACATACAACAAAGAAACAGAAACACCTTTAACTAGTCAGGTAATGTACCACACCTGGTCTGCAGAATGCAGACTAGAAAGCTATCTCCCAATTACCAAAACCTTGTTCTACAAAGATGTTGCCTGAATGTTTTCCAAAATATGTCCCCTCATCCTTTGAAAATACAAATGGGGAGGGGCTGGGAATTAGCAAATATTGCCACTTGAAACCACAGTCAAAGAAAGATGAGGAGAATCAACTCATTTGAAATGTGGTACAGTATTGAAGATACCACAGACCATGAGAAAGGCAAACAAATGGGTGCTCAATCAATATGATAGGCAGAATGGAGACTATGACAGAATATAGGCACCAAAGCTCTACTGTCGGGTAAGACAACTCCCAACTAGAAAGCAAAAAACAGTAATTTCACAGTTTAAATGAGCAAGCTTCTGAATACTTGTCTATTATTTTTAATATATTAAAACATTTCCAACATCGCTTATTTTTTTAAACAAATTTATATTCTGCTTGTGTCTCCATTTTTACAACCAGCCACAGAATCCCCTTGTAACATGATTCTGATAAGCCTGTTTGGCCAAGAAGGAATTAAAAAGTTAACTAAAACTGAGCTGATTGCCTCCTGATTGATCAAAAGTTCAGACTGGCCCAGAGGTGGAGCTGATTTCTCCTTTTAAAACTTATGTGAGAAGATTGGTCTCAGAAATACAAAGAGAAAGTTTACTGAAGATACATAGCAAAAAGATTCATTTCTGGAAGCTTGCAATTCCATTACTTCTTTTAAAGCAAATCCTTTTTATAAAACTCTTTAAAGAAATCCGCTCCTTTCAGTCTGTTTTAGTAACCTTTTTGTATTGTACAGTATTATCAAAAATTGATAGGTTAAAGAATTCATGAGAAACACTACCAGCAAAAAGAGTTATTCCTTTTTTCTCTACCTTTCTTTGCAATATTATAGTTTTTATCTAGTGAATACTTCAGCTTTTGCACACTCAAAAGCTTCATTTTATTTGCACCCCTTCCATTCAGCATAATTAGAAGTACTCTCAATACTTCTTCGACCACAGATATATAAAATATACATTTAAAAAAGCTTAACTATGTCCTGCTAAGAAGCTTTTAATGGGAAAGTCAATAATCCACCTAGATTTGCTAAGTTTGTATTTTGTTCAGTATTATGCAAGAGACTGAACCTACTTCTCCTAATGGAAAATGGGAACTACAAAGGGAGGAATACCAGTAATATGAATCAATGTAGATGTCACTGAATTGTTAAGATAATAAAAGCCAATATATTTAAAAAGAGGTTTTAATTAGATTTTTCTCAACATGGTGCCTGCAGGGTCATGCCCTAGGATGTGTGAGATTCTTGCAATCCTGGGACACCTCCTGAGTGTCAATGAAGACTATGAGGACATATGTAAAGGAAAGCAAATAGATACAGTACAGAGCAACAACAAGAGCACTCCAACTATGTTAGGTCTTATATAACATTTAAGAGTCAGAGTGATGTAGCAGACAGAGTGTTGGACTAAGACTGAAGAAACCTGGATTCAAATTCCTGCTGTGTCATGAAAACTCCCTGGGTGTGTGCAGCAATGGTAAACCACTTTTCAAACATCTCACAGATCTTGAAACTCATATTAAGGACACAGTAAATCAGAAGCACTTCGATGTAACAAATAAATGCTCCCACGGCATGCACAACTCACTGTCCCTACCCATTTCTAGAAGAATAGATTATGAAAATCTCTGAATCAATTCTGTATTTTTATGCACATTTTTATAAAGTCATCACAGACTAAATTCGCCTAGCACTTATTCACTCTACTGAAATGATTAATGATATTTTCTTTCCCTTGAGCTAGTTCTGAGACTTCTATTTGGTCACCATCCACACTCAAACAATAAACAAAGAGAATGATACATGATCATAAGTTTAGACAAATTCTTTGATAAGAGTGATAAATATTAAAGTTGGCAAATCCACTTTCTAGTACTGTACTGTTCTTCTCCAACTCCTACACAGAAACATTTATAAGACCTATCCAATATGTCCAGATCCTCTCAGCTACAACCATACTTTTACACAGTGTGTTAAAACAGGTCACAAAGGGGCACATAATTTAATTGTATCAAGGACAAAACCATTGGCCTTAACACACAAGGAGGAGTTGTCACACAAACCAGCAAGAGTACAAGTCCTTATGCCTACTTCAAACATGGCTTCTGCTAGGAGTAGAAAGCATAACTAGTCATATAATAATAACTTCCAGAGGCCACAGTTTCCCTTCATCAGCATCAATACCCTGAACATGGCAGGTAAAAGGTAAAGGTAAAGGCTCCCCTTGACAATTTTGTCCAGTCATGTCCAACTCTAGGCAGCGGTGCTCATCTCCGTTTCCAACCCACAGAGTTAGCGTTTGTCCACAGACAATCCTCTGTGGTCACGTGGCCAGCGTGACTAGACAGGGAACGCCATTTACCTTCCCACCGAGGTGGTACCTATTTATCTACTCGCATTTTTGCATGTTTTCGAACCGCTAGGTTGGCGGGAGCTGGGACAAGCGACAGGGGCTCACTCCGTCATGTGGATTTGATCTTACGACTGCAGGTCTTCTGACCTTGCAGCATAGAGGCTTCAGTGGTTTAACCCACAGCGCCACCACGTCCCTATGAACATGGCAAGAAAGGGCATTAAATGACCTTTGCCATAGCCAGAGATTACAGTATCACAGTTGCAGAAGCCAAGTAGCTGAAGCCAAAGATCCCTTTGAACATTCAGGAAGTAACTTCTGCTGAAGCAGAGTTATTTCACACCAGTGGTACAGAACTCATCAAGAAAAAGGGAAAAATCCATGAATTTCTTTTGTTTACACAGAAGTTACAGCAGGCTAAGGGAAAAAATGTCCTAGTGGAAGTGTAACAATAGCTATAGGGCCTTCCCATTACGTCACTGAGTAATCTCTTATGTATGTTCAATGCATTCAGAGAGATAATCAGCTGGATCATCTTTTGACAACAAAGGTGCAAAATGCCTCTAGTGATGCCAAGAGGTTGTCAGACAGAATGAAAGCATAGCACTCACTAAACAATTTTGATACTTAACTTGTAAAATAGCATAAAGCAAGATAGCACATCCACATTTCAGTTTTCAGAAGACATTTAGGTACTCCCCCAACCAAGTCAAACACAGTAGAGCAGCAATACCTGGATCTATTTATTTCTACAGATATACATATGCCATGCTACTTGTGATCAAGGAAGCAAGATACAGTATAGCCTAATGCAATTTTTTAAAAACAAAGTAGACGCAATAGTTCAATGGTTCCCATTAGCCTAGATCGCCAGGTGTTCTTGAACCAAAGCACCCAGAAGCCTTCACCTGTAGCTGTGCTGGTCAACATTTCTGGGAGTTACAGGCCAAGAACATCTGGGGACACAAGGTTGGAAAATACTGCATGTGTATTGTGTGTACATTACAAATGCAAATAGATGCCACACATTCCTAAGGCATAAAGTATTAGAGAACAAGATCAGGACAAATACATAAACTTGTGTCTTACCTATAGGATATCCCAGGGCGAAGTCATTGCTCTGAGTAGCAAAGATAGGAAATAGTCCAGCTTTACTAAACCGACTCTCTGGAGTGACTATAAAGAATGTTAAAATGCAGACTAAGAAGAACACTGAAGCTTTGGCAACGAGGATGCTATACAGGAAGGACCAATTCACATTGGAAAAGTTCAATATAACCATGTTTTTGAACAATAAAGCTGGGAGTGCAAAGCGGGAGACAAAGTTTCCAAGTCCTTTGGCCTGTGTTGATGTAATCACATTAACTCTTCCAGCTATGTACCCACAAAGGATAATGCCAAAGCACTGTAGCAATGCTGGGAAAAGCTTACTTATTGACATGGAAGGAGAACTGCTGGTTAAGTTCTGATGGGAGACAAAATTACTGAAAAGGAGACCAGACATATTTGCTGCAGAAGAGAGATTCCTGGTATTGATATGACTGAAAAAATCCATGCTTGTTCACCACATCGAAAACTCTAGCTCACGGATCATGATCTGTAAAACAAGAAAAGCAGTAGTATCAGCAAGCTATTTCAAGTTGAAGTCATTTCACTGGTTAATCTCAGTGTCCACTTCCAACAAGTCTAGCCAAGAACCAGTTTCACATATCACTGGGTACTGAACATATGCACCAAGCAGCTCATCCATAACATTAATCTAGAACAGTGGTTCTCAACCTTTTTTGAGTTGCCTCCCCCTTCTATAATACCCAAGTTACCACTTCACTTTTAGAATTAGAGGTAACAAGGGGGCCCTGTGGAAGAGAATTAAAAATACCTGGAACACTTACAAATCAAAGTCTTAAAGCATCATAAAATATCTGCACTAAGGAAGTTGTATTTGTTTATCTAAAATGTTGTACTGCGAAATCTCTTAAACCATAGCCCCCAACAGGCTCTTATTTGGGGAAAGCTCCACAATATATATATATAATGCATTCCTGACTTTTCCACCTCCTCCCTTGATCCTTGCCCGGCCTGGCTAATCAAAGCAGCCAGGCCTATAACAACGGAATGGGCCACTGCAATAATCAATGGGTCTTTCCTTGAGGGCAGGTTACCAACTGCCCTCAAGGAGACACTCATTAGGCCTATTAGGAAGAAACCAATTTTGGCGGCGGACGAAATTGGCAACTACAGGCCCATCGCCAATGTTGCTTTCTTAAGCAAGGTGGTCGAGAGGGCGGTGGCCGACCAGCTTCAGGCGCATTTGGATGAAACGGATGCCCTGGATCCATTTCAGTCGGGCTTCAGGCCACGCCATGGTACAGAAACGGCATTGGTTGCCCTGTGCGATGACCTATTGAGGGAGGCCGACGGGCAAAGTCTCTCTGCTGGTCCTCCTCGGCATCTCAGCGGCCTTCGATACCATTGACCACGGAATCCTCCTGGGGAGGCTCTCCGAGTTGGGAATAGGTGGCCTGGCACTGGCTTGGCTCGGTTCCTTCTTGGGGGACTGCCCCCAGAGAGTACAGCTTGGGGAGCGTCTTTTGGCCCCGTGGAGTCTCAATTGTGGGGTTCCACAGGGGTCGATTATCTCCCCAATGCTGTTTAACATCTATATGAGGCCGCTGGGTGGGGTCATCGGGGGTGTGGGGCCTCGTGTCATCAGTATGCTGATGACACTCAGCTCTACACCTCCTTTTCACCAACTGCAGGAGATGCCATTCTGTCCCTTCAGCGCTGCCTGGGGACTGTACTGCAATGGATGCAGGAGAACGGGCTGAGGCTGAACCTGGACAAGACGGAGGTACTGAGGGTGGGCGCCGCCACAGCTGGGGGATTGGGAAACTCCCTCTCTTTTGGGGGGGTGATCCTCCCTGCCAAGAATGCAGCTTGGGGATCCATCTGGACCCGGCACTCACTATGGAAACTCAGGTGTTGTCGGTGGTCCGTACCGCCTTTTTTCATCTTAGGCGGATAGCCCAGCTGCGGCCCTATCTCGATGTTCGGGCACTCACTACCTTGGTGCATGCGCTCGTAATCTCAATATTAGACCACTGTAACGCACTCTACGTGGGGCTGCCTTTGAGGCTGCTGCGGAAACTTCAGGTGGTGCAGAATGCGGCAGCCAGACTACTTAGTGGAATGAAAAAATACCAGCATATTTCTCCCACTCTGGCCGCATTGCATTGGCTGCCCATCCATTTCCGCATCGACTTCAAAGTGTTAATGCTTATGTACAAAGCCCTAAACGGTTTAGGGCCTCGATACCTGGCGGAACACCTACTTCCACCAAGATCTACCCGTGTCACTCGTGCGAGCCAGAAGGTGAGGCTGAGGGGACTGACGCCGAGGGAGGCCCGGAAGGAAAAGACAAGAAATCGGGCCTTCTCGGCGGTGGCTCCTCACCTCTGGAACAATCTACCTCCTGAGATTTGTGTGGCTCCCTCGCTGGGTATCTTCAAAAATCAACTTAAAACATGCATGTTTCGGCAGGCCTTCCCTCCAATCAATCCCTGATGCCCTTTTCCCCTCTCTATTTGCCTCTTTTATTACGTCTATTTTATGTAATACTGTTTTATATATATTTATTGTTATATTTTATGTTGTTAGCCGCCTAGAGTGGTCTTAACCGGCAGGATATAAATAAAAAAAATAAAAATAAATATGCTAGCAATTGCTGTAATTATCACTGCAAATTTTGTTTCTTTTATATAAACAGATATATCAGGAATATATAATTTTTCATGATTACCTTTTGACACTTCAATAAAGTTATGACACCACTTGAAAAAAATTTCATAAATTTTAGATTAGAATTTCTCAGAATGCTGAGTTCCAGGAGACTTACAAGGAATGATCTACAGTCAAAGTCAGTGGACATCGACAAAACCATGCAATGTGATTCAGAAAAGACAATATCCTAGTACTGGAACACATATAATATTTTGTCAGATAATAAATAAGGGAAGCACTCTGTATATACAGTACTAAAAAGAGCACCCTACATGTTTAGCCATGCCTACATGATCAAAGCAAATAAGATACTCAAGACATCTCCGCCACAGCAGCAGCAGGATCCTCCCATGTGGTATCAGATGAAGCATATAATTTCCATTACACACCTAGTTGTCCCACTGTTATTATTAAGTCTTTACTTCTCTCATCTTATCAAACCACTCTTGGCATGGGCAGCTCCTTACCAAGTGATCTTTCAGAGCTCCACAGTGCACCATAAAGTAAGGGTGCAATATGATTGCGTTTCCCCCAAACACCTGCCCTCCAAATGTGTTGGACTACTTACAACGATGCTCTAGCCAGGTGATCCTGTCATGCTGGATCAGAACCAAGGCCCAAACCTAACTTAATGCTAGAGCTGAAGCACAAACATAACAGAATTTCACTCCCTTCCTTCACTCACACAAGCTTTGGCACTGCTTACAAACCTGATTACGCTCTCATAATTTCACTAACAAAACCAATTCTGATAGCAAATGTCCTGAATTTCGACTGTGGGCTCCAGTTTAATACTACCACAGATGGGGGAGAAAGAAATGTAATAGTACAGTATAATGATAACACCTGTTTTTCTTAAGATCTCCATGAAAGCTATGCTCAAAATGTCAGAAGGAAGATTTGCTGATATGATAGAAGCCTTACAAAGGAAGGTGTACTGAGTTTAACTTAAAAAAACAAGAAGTAAAATTTCAGCAACAGGAAGTCAGTCGTCTCATTTTAGGGTTCTGTATTGAGAGTAATGACTAGTTTCTTAAAATGAAAAAAGAAGTGTATCATAGCTGAGAAACTTCTTGTTTTCCCAGACAAAACAAAAACAGGGCCAGAGAGAGGGTAACTATGACATAACCGCCTAGAGTGGTCACAATTGACTAGATAGGCAGG